CGTAAAGGAGAATAATTTAACGTTTTCGCGGGAGAACTTCGCTATTGTAAGTACAAGCACACAATTATCCTAAATCACTAAGCTTAGGGATTACATTTAAGAATATTTGGTCCTTTTTAACAAATCCTTAACATTCAAGTAAGTACCTAATGATGAGAAGTTGTAAATACGACAACAGATCATGAACTTTTATTAAATTACGTGTTTACAATGCTATTTTCATGTGCGGTGTTGATAATATCATTAATTGTATTCCAAGTTGGAGCGCTTAATTATATGCGAATGTGTCCAAGTGTTTATGTAAAGCTCAGTAAGGATCCAGCTAGCAAGCCGCTTAGCTAGCTCGACTCCATCATACTATTCGAGTCTAGAATTACGATGTGTCTGTACCCTGCCAGTGTCTATGAAGTAACTGTGGGACAATCATTTAGTAATAGAATATGGTAATCAGATCTGACAGCGAATCTTACGTAGCTACTGATGTTATTGGTATACGTCGTACTAAATCGACAAATACCTAGAGGTTTATGTAGTCACCTACGCGAATATTCAAAAGATGTTTTGACAGTTATTTTAAAGGAAAGGGTTAAGTTTTATGTTTGAACGCTCTAACTCGACAAATACTGGTTAGATTTGAACAATATTTTTTGTGTTGGATAGGCCATTTATCGAGGAAGAGCATTTAGCAACCGGGCCGAGGATTAAACCGCACGGGTGCAATACCTAGTTAGAAAAAACATCTAGACGTTCATAAGGTAACTGGGTTAACTAGCATAACAATAATTATTTTTTTTCGATATTGTGATTTAAATATTCTACAAAAGGTTGAATATGTTAAGTAATATGCTGAATCATGTACTTAGATATTGAAATAAGGTTAACATTTTGATGAGAAAGGAAAATTTACTCAGGTACCTAGGTAATTGCGAAACTACAAAATTAACGATGATCAGGCAAACGTACGATTTTAAAAATAATAATAAGTATTTAAGTTAACAGTTCAGTAGCTAACAGAATACGGCTGTTTAATATGCCTATAGTTAATATTATAATTTCCTGTAAGTATGTTAATATTTAAGTACCTATAAATAATTATTCTCTTCCCGATGTTTAAGATGTATTTTTATTGTTAAAAACAAATTATCGTTACCAATAATTATATCATTGATTATTATCACGAAACACCTACACAAGAATATTGCTACCCCAAAATTATTGGCGACTCCGAGGGTTGAAGACTAAACAGATTAATAAACGACCGAGATAACCAAAGAGGCTGTGCAACTTATGGGGGTAGGTCATGTACCTACTTCTCCTCACAGTTCGAATACTTATAGGTGATTCTACATTCTATAACAAAATAAAATACCAATAACAAACAGTAAACAGCTACTCGATAGAGCATTATTTTATCAAAGTAATCAATCGCCCATTTAATATTATTGTTTTTACATACCTTGCGGAAACAATTGGGGCGTACAGGAGCCGGTATTCCGAATAGGTAAACACACACAGATTTTGCACTGCACTTAAAAAACACACAATATAATATCACTTATAATTTTTATGGGTCGGTTTGTGTCAGCTTATGACAGCTGGTTCGTATTTTTTTGCCGCGGGTGTCAGATGTGTCCTTGAAGGACGCTGTGGGAGCGCGCCATGTTGATTTGAGGACGGGCGCGTGGCGACTGCGCGCAGCCGCCCCTTGCGTGGCGCATGCGCTGTGCGTCACCCTATGTCCCGCCATCCCGCCCGCACCCGGCCATTCTTCCTTGTTCCCAAATCCTGCGTTGTCCTTGCCTTGCGTGTTTTATAACAGTACAACGTATAGATTGTTATTTATATGAAGGAGCTTAAGCTGCTTATTCTGCTTTTTGTAGCAACATGAAATTTGTTTTAGACTTTTAGGTTTTCGAATTTTAATAGTGATAGCCTTGTAAGTATGTATTTATTTATTGTTGTTAAATAAGTAACTACCTACTCTATTGTATGATTTGTATAAATATTTTTACCTTTCCTCAAAGCAGGATTCTAATTTTAGTCTGAAACTGTTTACTAACGCAGCGTCGCTATTTTATTAGGTACGTACTCATAAGACTATAGGCCCTACTCCCTAGGCAAGTTTTCACAAAATTTAGTGAGTAGGTACTTCACTACCTACCTAATTGCCTACAATAATAAACGGCTGTAGTTTCATTGTTGTCTGTCGGCCAGCCCGGGGGCGTACAAACGTGTCACGGGAAGCGAATGATGCATTCGGGAGATCACCCACCAATCGCCCACAGACTCGCCTACGCGAAACCAACAAATAAATAAAGAAGAAGCCTTGCAAACCCTTAAAAATCAAAACCATTTATTATATTATTTAAAACCTAACTAGGGAAGTTCTGTAAAGTTTTTTATTTTGACGTGATAGGTCAGCAAACGAGCCGACGGATTACCTGATGGTAATCATTCAGTGCTGCCTATGCACACCCATAACAACGAAGGAGTTACCTTCGTGTGCTTTAGCGACCGATTACGGTTTTGGACATTTGGGGTTGGGGAGGAATTGGTGGATTTGTTTTGGAAGGTAAACCAAAATAATCTTTGTGATCTAGAGATCTAGAGTCCATTTGGAGAATCATGTCATGTGTTTCTTTATAGCGTTATACCTAGTATCTGCTAAATCACTTCAACTAAATCACAAACTGATTAAAATTCCAAAACCATATTATTTTGCTCTTTGCACCGTTCTTCCTTTGAATACTACAGTTTTACCTTCTGCATATTTTTATTACGTGGCTAAGCACAGTCCATCAATGGTGCCTTTATGTTAAACAAAAATTACGCAATATTGCACTTTAACACTGAAGCATACGGGTTATATTAACCGCAATAATAACCTTGCATATTTATCAGCTACATGTTCACTGATTTTAAGGCAAGTGTTTCTTAGATGTTTGCGAGATGTAAGTAGGTACATGACAGTGTGAAAATGCAAGCGTTGCTTCGTCAGTCGGCATCGCTGTAATCAGACTCCTCGACTATAATTTGAAGATATTCAAATTCCTCTTCCATCACGATCAATTAAAAAAACCGCATCAAATACATAACATATGGATAGATATAGGTAAAGAGTAAGCGACTTTGTTTTGCACTATATGTATAATGATGTAGAGTATGGGATCTCGGGTCGACAGAAATAACCAAAAACCTACAACACTATAATTTTAAGGCTTTGTTTAGTTGTCTTGAAAAAATCTTTGTAAGTACCTATAGCGAAGTCTGGAGTTACGTCCAATATTAAGAAAGATAAGATTCTTGACACACCCGGCACACGGTGTGTTTTATTTGATTGTTTAAATCGTCCTTTCTGTGATTAAGGAATCGTTATCGCTTTTACAATAAAATTCTTAGCGATATTCAAAATTTGAGCCTCAATAAATTTAAAAGTGTAATAAAGGCTAAACTTTGCTGTAAAGCATTTTATAAAATAAAAGACTACTTAGAGGATAGTCAGGCATGTGAATGAGCCGCTGTAATGTCTGCACAGGTCATGTTGACATGTTTGTAACTTAAGTTACACTTTTATATACAATTTGACATTACGTTTATTTTTTATACAATGACATAATCACCTATTGTGACATTTTATTTTTTATTTGACATTTTTTTATTTATTTATTGACATTTTTATTATTTTATATTATTGTTAGTGTAAGGACCGTGTGAGACTTGCCGTGCTTTTTGATTACCAGTTATCTGCGTTCTGACAGTTTGAGTACTTGCGCGACCCACCCAAATGTTCTTTAGATCGGTATTGTTCGTCGGACAACTCAGCAGCACTAGCTATATTGGCTGCAAACTGACACTTGCGTGCCTGTCTTCAGAACGGGTCCACTTAAACTGGTGTGGTTCTTTCCTCAAAAGACCACTACAGAATGAACTTGCACGATTCTCTCACATTATGTTATTTTGACATTGTCTGGACTTGAAAAGAGACTGACCTCTGAGTTTGTTTCGGCATTTCTTCTCAGAGTAGTCAGATAGGAAATGCCGGCTTCATCTAGTTTTTCACATATAAATTGACGTGTAAAAGTGCCGTTTTATGGCCTATTTGCAAAAATAAATTCATTGTTTCATTGTTTCATTGTTATGCATTCTTTTTACGAACTATTGCTTGGTAGGAACCCACGTTTATTTCATTTAAATAAAACCAACAAATATTTTAATTCTTAGTTAAGTTCACTTGTCCATCTTTTATATTAATTCATTTTTACGGTTTATTATATTTGCTTGTTTATTCTGTATTCTGAGGTTTGCTTTTACCTGACAAATGGCTCGGGCATCAGTCTGACGCATCGGCGCGACAGCGCAGTGGCACCATTAACTGGAAAGACAGACTTTTCTCGAGGAATCCACCTCATAAAACACATGTTACTAATGTAAGGATATGACTAAGCGTGACAAATATTGCGAATGAGGTCAAAAGATACCTTTACCCAAAATTCTAAGAGTCATGTAGGTACATGTACATGTACAAAGTATAGTAGGTATCTTTTGTAGGTAAGTAACAACGTTAGTACAATCAAAATCAAAATCAAAGCACGTTGGTGGTTGACATTAGAAATCTTAATTCACCACACCATCGACGCTGACCGACCCTAAGTCTGCCACCATCTCTCTGTAGAAAAAGCTCGCTTTGCCACTAGAGCTAGGTACGGCGCCTGTTGTGCAGTTTATTAACTACGTTCAGTAGTAGTAATCAAAATCACGATATCGCCTGGTGTTGTGTATTTTCTTCGCTCGAAAGTTCACTTTTAAACTTAGCGTTAACTGTACCTGTTGGTTCCAACCAACTGCATAACTATTTGCAGTTGAGATAACGGCTACCCATATGTTCATTTTTAATGAATTTTATTAATTAAACTTTTGCGGTGATTACCTATATAATAAAAGTTGCTACCTACTAAAAAAATATTAGCCACTTTTATTTATATCTGACAACACAACTAAACGTCAACGTCAGTCAGATAACCCATATCAAAATCAAACAGCTGTTTCGTGATTCGTGAACCGGAATACCCGGAGAATTAATTTCAAATCAATTTACCTAATTCATTTAAATATAATAAAACAAATAGAATGCCCGAAGATACGAAAAAGAACAAGTTAGTATAGTTTCACACTTTGAATAACCTAACGGATAGGACAGCTAAATCTAATATCTAATTTGTTTTAGTGAGAAAATAAAAGATCGCAGGGAACGAAAACCTAGGAACAGGAATCAGAAAAGAGAAACTGAAAATGTAGCAGAAAAGAAGACTGAAGAATCCAAAAATGTGCCGAAAGGTATTTTTATCAAAACAACCTGTCTTCATATAAAAAACGCTTCTTTTGCACGATGTCCAGTCGGATGATGATAGTTTGTAATGCTGTCATTTCTATACAATTTCTCTTTAATTAAAATAAAATAGAAGAATTGATTATAATCGTGCTTTTGTCACTTTCTTCTTTATCAAATTCTTATAGCTACATATTTAACTATTACATTTTGTATACCTACTGGTTAAATTAATCTGTTTGTACTACACTTAAATCTCTGTATATTTACTCGCGATTGTGGGTCTACTTGGGTTAACTTCTCACTAAATAATAATAAAAAAACAAGGCTAGAGAAGAACCACCTTCTAAATGTTGTACATATAAGTCACACAGCTTATAATTCATGGTTATTAAACTACATGTAGGTGCACAATACGAAAATATTTACTTCAAATTTATTTGCCAGATTTCATTTCACATAGTACATACCTACTAAATTTTATTTAAAAAACAATAAACTCATGTGAATGAAGTGAGAAAAGACACAATGGCACTTACGAACAGTGTGCGCATCACTGCAATTTCATTAAGTATTGTATGTCTCAATCATGATGGTTACTAATAAAAAGCTTAAATTCATATATAAATGAAAGCTTTTAAAATTAATTTGGCTTCATAGTTTTTTTACATACTTATAGTTATGCAGTGTAAAAGAGCTGATCAAAAATAAATTCATTGTTTCATTGAATAAATTGTTACAGTTACAGTGCCACAGAAGCCAGTCTATGAAACACCACCCCCGGAGTTTTACAAAAACTTGAAACGGGAGACAGATGAAATACTAAAGATAACTGAAGAGGAGAATACAAAATACAAAAAGAAAGAGATACAAAGCAACTGGGCCAAGTATGAGGTTCCAATTGACAGCTATGAGGAGATTGAGGAACAGGAGAACTTGGGTGCTGATTATGAGGTAATTATTCTGGAATTCAAAGTCAAAGACCCTTACAGGCACTTTTAAACGTAAAACAAAGGTTAAAGGTAAAAAGGTCAATTTGTTGATCAGTTCTCTTAGTGAAGCTATTTGCACATTGTTTCCTGAAATCATAAGAAACCATAGTGTCTTGGCACACAAGTGCTTGCACTTGTGTGATCCAAATGATGAAAAGTATATTTATATTTATAACTAGCTTTTGCCCGCGACTCCGTGCGCGTGGGATAGTGGTTTCCCGTATAAAAACTATCCTATGTCCTTTCTCGAGTTCCAAACTATGTCTATACCAAATTTCACAGTAATCGCTTCTGTAGTTTAGGCGTGAAGAAAAGACAGACAGAGTTACTTTCGCATTTATAATATTAGTTTGGATTTTATTGTTAGTTCTATGAAATGTTAAAAAAATTGTTCTATGGGATGAAACCCATAAGAGGCAGGCAACTCACTTGTTGTTTAATATTATCAGTGTCCATGTAGCTGATTGCTTATCATCAGGTAATCAGTCTGTTCCTTTGCTGACCTATGGCATAAAAAAAGTATTAGGCACTTATTGATTGTTAAATTCAAACAAGTTAATGTCTATAAATTTTTCCTATATTGCAAAGGACTTTTACAATACCTAACTAAAAATACTTAGATTTTAAAAGTTGTAAGTATACTTCTCTGCCTATCAGTTCCACAAGTCGATAATATCATAATATTGCGCTATTATTCCAGAAATTGCCTTAATTAATAAATTTATCTATAAGCACCTACCAAAAATAGTTAAGCAAGATATTGCTTATTGTAAAATCAGTGGCCCTATCATGTCTACTTATAAATTCTACCACCAACTTGATTTTGTATTTTTCATTTCAGAAACTCATACAAGCTCCTCCTTCCATCGGCGGACATTTTCAATTCAAACATGAAAAGTCTTGGGATATAAACACAGCTCCATCGTTATATGATAAGTACTTTAATATAAACATGGAAGACCTCAATATTGCTCTTTGCACTATTCCATTTTACGAAAGGAACTCTATAGACACGTCCATCTTTACCGAAACAGATATACTAACGATGAACAACAGAGCAACGAGGTTCAAACAGAAATATTACAATGATAAATCATACTCAACGCCAGAAACTGAAGCTCAAGATAAAATACTCAACAATATTATGGAAAGCTTGAAAGATGATAATAGTAAGAGAGACACGAGTAACGATATAGATATAAAATGTGATAATGCTCGTAAAACTAGAGCAGAGTCAGAGAAATCGGACAGTTATATAGAATTACAAACTGAAAACAAGACTGAAATATCAAAAACTGTTGAAGAAAATTTAGCACCGAATGCATTAACGAATGATGAAACTAAAATCAATGAAATAGTAGTAAAGGAAGACAAAACGGATGATTTTATTTTTGGGGACCCTAACAAACACGTCAAAGAACTCGAATTAGATCATGTTCCAATGGCAAGTCCTGTGTGCAATATAGAAACTATTAAAAATACTCCTGTAGTTGACAAGGTCCCATCTGCTATTACCGTAAAGACGACACCTAATGCGTCTAAAGAAACCCCCGCGCCTATTGCTACTTCGAAAGGTATGTTCAGTTTATATTATGTTTTTATTTATTGATGAAAATGAGAGTAATTTTTTTAAATAGGTACTTATGATGTTGCAAGTGAGAAATAAGACGTACTACGTAGGTGTCAGACACCTAATACGGTTGTTTCCAACTAGTCAAATTCAATACTTTTATCCAAATGTCAAAAACGATACTTTTCTATGAAAATTGTATGAAACATTGAATTATGACGTCATAGCATTTTAGCGTCAAATAGCTTACTTATTTAAAAAATTAGCAAAAAAATCTAAAACTTAGTGTATCGATCGATCGATGAATAAAAGTATAGTTATCAATATTTTATCGAATTAAAACGTCGAATTAATTTATTTTTGACCTAGGAAACTACCCAATTGAAAGAATGAATATACTTGTTCTCTTAAAGGGCCTTTTTTCTAGCCTGTAGTAGTTTTATAGGATGCAGGTACATGCTCGGAAAAACTCCTTTTAAACTAAAAATCCCCAAGCAGTCATTTTTGAAGGCTTGTCACCCCTTTATCATCGTACCAATTCCAGGAAAATACCCGAAAAATGAGGATGCCTTACCTTATCTTCCTTAACTTTCGTTTGTTTAGGGGTAAATCAAAATTGATAATTCAATTAGGTATCGAAAACTTATCGATTTTCAATTTAAGAATCAACTTTTTAATTGAGTCATAAGAGGCATTATACGTGTTCGACAATTAAAACAAATAAATATGTATAAAACATTTATTTACTATTTTTCAGTAACAAACCAACCTGAAGAAACAAAGAAAAATCCTGTTATTGAATCTCCGGAAGATCTTGAGAAGTGGTTAGATGACTTTTTAGATGGTTAAATATACCTTATACTAATATTTACATTGTTTTGTATAAATCATTGGTATCAATGTCATAACAAATATTCACGTTTCTTAAATTGTAATATAATTATATTCTGTTTATATACAGTTGTGGTATTTTTTGTATATAACGTATCCAAAAATTGCTTAGGTACTTTAAAAAATTGCCGAGCCATCGAGCCCCCGAGGATAGGTATTTTTTTTTCTGGACGTAATACCGCGTCCACACCTATTTGGCTAGCTTCGGTAGGTTCCTGTTTCGGATCTAGCGGGAGGAAACGCGAGTGTCGTCATTGTGAGGACCACCTAGAGGATTCGGTGGAGCATACGGTGGCGGTATGCCCTGCATGGGCTGAGCACCGCCGTGTCCTCAGGGAAGTGATCGGCGGCGGCGACCTCTCGCGCCCGGCCTTAGTCGAGGCCATGGTGCAGAGCGTGAGGAACTGGGATGCCGTCTCCTACTTTTGTGAAGCAGTTATGCTCGCAAAGAGGGAGGCGGCCCGCGTGAGGGAGCAATCCTCTCCTCACGCCCCAGCCGCCGCAACAGGCGACACTACGGGCGTCGAGGATCAAGGGACGATCTCCGGTCACCGTAAGCGCGGGTCTGCGGTCGGCGAGTAAGAGCAGCTCGCCGCCGACCAGAACCAGGCCCGAGCGTACGGCGCGTAGCATTCCGCGCGCGCCTCAAAGAGCCAATAGACCACCACAAACGGGGCCCTTTAGGGCTGATGTTCAGCCGGGGTTGTGGGGTAAGCGCAATGAGGCTCCGCGACCTCGGCCCAGAGCAGGAGAAGGAACAGGGAGGTTTTTAGACAGTAAGAGTCTGACACTCCCTCCCCCCCCCCCGGCCCTGGGCGGGAGAAGTCATTTGATGATTTTCCCCTCATAAAAAAAACACCTATTTGGCTGGTGTGAATGTGCGCGCAAGCATCTAAAGTTTAAAAAAAAGGTTGTTGTGTAAACTTATTTTTTACGTATTGGGACCCCATGGACTTTAAAAAATAAAATGTACAAGTTTTACGCTTCAAAGTATTTATTTCTAATGTGTTCAGTTGAGGACAGTTTGGTAATAAACAAATAAACACATAGTGTGACTTTATTCTTTGAGACACAAAAAAAAATATATGAAAAGTCCCTATAAAATATTTTCACAGACTGACTTTATATTATTTACTTCAGTATCTAAAATATTTATCTAATGACCACACATACCCACATTATGTAACACAGACCAGAAAGTTTGTACAATGATCGAACTAAATCAGCTTGATGTAAACATAATTAGTTAATAACTTTCAAAAATTAAACCACAACTGAGTATGACAATTCAAAGAGGTAATTCATTTTTAATACGAGGTAGTTTTTTTAATAGATGTTAGGTTTAAATGGGACTTAATTGGACTTTATACCATTTATTTGTTACAATAGAATAATTAGTTAGTTAAGGAAAAACGTTACGCTTATAAGGTCACCGGTCACTTCCGTTTGATATCCATATAAGATGGGGTTACATATCTATAGGTACTCCTTCCATGGTCAAAAGATGTTCAATACACAAACAAAAATAAGTACCTAGGTAGTCAAAGTATGAAATAACGAGTAAGTCATAGTTAAAAATGCAATCCAATATGATCAAGTCTTCATTACAATCAGTTTGCTTGAAGAAACGTTTTAGAAATTTAAATACCCAAAATTAATTTAATGGGAGATTGCTGAAGACATTGTCATATTGGCAAAAATTGTAAATGGATGTCCATTACCAAACAATTTTTGCTCACACTTCACTAATAAGTATACATATAATAGCTTCACTGGTAAGTGTATAATAGCACAAAAATCTTCACTCTCAATCTTCATTTCCTTTCAAGTTGAGACGTCGATTCGATGACAGGACCACGGGAACAGTAAACAGAGATCTTCCATTTCCATATTACTCTTTTTAATGACTCCGTAAGTATCCATGAAACAGCAGCTTTTCGGCCATCAAATTAGGTGTATATATTAAAACGAACGGTAGCTCCGTTTTGATCCAAGTCTTATATAAAACAACGCAATTAAGTAATTCTGTACAACAATATCTCACAATTTTGTCGATATATTATGTACATACAATATATTTCATCAAAACCCAGTCACCACAATTATTAAACTATTGAACTTAATTTTAACAACACGTATGAAGACTGCTTCACGATTAAAATATAAAAATAAAGAAAAACCACAAACATAGGTACAGCAATTACTTATAAGAAAGTTAATTATATTTATTTGAAACTTGGGTAAAACAAATATTCGCGACATTATGTTCATTAACTTTACTTGAAATAGCTATGCTAACTATGTAATTTCAAAACAATCATACATCTCAATTACCCTTAACAGAATATTTTAGTAACGATAGTTGTTGTAATTGTGGTGATACTGCTGTTGGCTGCCACCACCTCGGCCGTCATAGTCGTAGTTGGGATTCCTTCTACCGTACTGATTCGGATGCATGGGCTGCGGTACAGGCAATGGTTGCTGCAAGGTTTTCGCGCGCGCTGCCAGCTGAGACACCAACTGCGCGGGAGTTAGATGAGCTATCGAGATAGGTGCTCCATCGGAGATACTGCCGGTTGGGTTAAAAACAGATTTTGAACTAACTAAATCTTGTTCTACAACTTGAGTATGAACAGATGAACTAAAATATTCAGGTTCCGTGGAAGTACTGGCTTCTTGGAAACTTGTAGATTCACGAATTTCACACACGTCACAAAACGGTTTTGTTGTCTGGACGGCCGCATCCTTTACGTCTTTAGGGAGCTTCTTTTTATACCTCGACACCACCTTATCCAATCCAATTGTAGTGATGATGCTCTCCACAAGCTGCTGGTTTTGCTGAGCCAAAACAGATCCGTTTGTTTTCGTAAAGTTGAACTCTATAGAGGCTTGTCTCTTCAGCGGCGAACAAAACTTCGACTCCAAGGCCTTAGGTTCTGATCCGACAATATGATTGTTCATCATCAAATGGTTGGGTAGGAGCAACTTTTCTAACTTGACTAAAGCTTGATTGCACCGAGACATAACTGTAAACACAAAAGCAGCACCATTTTCATCCAATTACACTGTAATCCAATTAATACCTTAAACTTTCATGAATGTTTGTTAAAACCAATTTATTGTAGATCACTTTTAATAACAGTCAATTATTCCGTTTCATTGTTTTTCAATTCAAACTTAGCACATTCATTATAAAAATATCTGCTGCACAGATAATACAACTGTTTCTTTAACTTAAAGTTATTGCATAGCCTCATGCAAAGGCATGAAAAACTAGTTAATTGCTGTTTAATACCCACCTCCACTTAAAGTTTTTGAATCCATCATACTGGTTGCACCTGTAATCATAAATTTTACACAGGTTTCAGTTAAACAAACATCAGGTATTAAATTAAGTTCACTCTTTATCTTATTTTTTTTATCAATCCAATAAACTATAACTAACCTTTATTAGGAGCAAGCTTAAAATAATCTTCTTGAGAAATCTTCCCTTCTGCAACTAACTGAAACATTCACAGGCTCATAACAATGTGTCATTAAAACAAAAATTAAACAACCAATTTAAATAGAAATATTATTACTTGTGCCAATGCATCATATGGTGTTTTCTGCTCTATAACTGGGAGGGCAGGAGCTGGTACCATGGCCGGTGCTGGGGCTACATTCAAAGGATCTGGAATTGGGTTTATAGTAGGCACTGGTACTGGCTCCGGCATTCCACTAGGTGCACCAGGTGCCAAGTTATAGTTATATGGAGCAGGAAAACCACCACCATATGCTACTCCTTGTGGGTATGTATATCCTGCTACACTTCCAGGAAATTCACTTTGCACAGGAGCAGTATACAGCTGTGCTGGTTTATTACTATAAGGTTCTACAGGATATGCTGACATTCCTGGTTCAGTAGGATATAGAAATGTGTCCTTTTGATGTGGGGAACGAGATCTTGAACGTGCTCTTTTAGAATCATATGAGCGTCTTTGAGGGGATCTGGATAGTCGTCGACGTCGAGGGCTGCGCTCATGTGACCGATGCGGGCTGTAGCGGCGATGTGGGCTTCGTCGTGGTGGGCTGCGTCGTGGTGGGCTCCGTCGTGGTGGGCTGCGTCGTTGTGGGCTGCGCCGTGGTGGACTATTCCGTTTTCTGTAGAATTTGTGTGGGCTGAATCTGGGTCGGTACTGGTGTAGGTGAGATGGGTGTGGATGATAGTGGGGACGTGGACTCCATGTGGGGCTATATCTTTTACGAGGGCTGTAGCGTCGGGGACTTGCGCGGTGGTGTGGACCTTGACGCCGAGGGCTGTGATAGTGAGGTGATCCCCGATATTGCACAGGTCTGTGTTGCTCATCAGGGCCTTCTTCCAGTACGCGTTTTGGTGTTTTCTTAATTTCCTTAGTTTTGCCTCCTTCAAAATAGTCGTCAAGTTCAGTGCCCGGAGGTCGAATATCATCAGTAGACTCTAAATGCTTTGCAAGGTATTCTTTAACTTTAACTTCCTTATCTTTCTTAATAGCTTCATTCGTTTTGCTTGGATCACGCCTGCTACCGGGTTTGATGAAATCATTCATACGAGAGCTGCTGGAAGATTCCTGCTCCGGAGATTCTCGTTTGCGCCACTTAAACCTATCATCAAATTTAACGAACGGCTGAAACGGTTTGTCTGTGTTGCCTTGCTCTTCTTTATTGTCTCCGATCAGTTCACGAAGATCCTTCACGCTATCGAGGGCCTCAACGTTGATACGACGCGGCTCACGACGTTTGCCGGCACCATCTTCTTCATCCCAGCTGTCTATAACACTTAAACCTTCCATAAAATCATCTCTGTTAAAATCGTCAAAGAAATCACTTGGTATATCTTCACCGTCGCCCGGATCCGATATTCGATCTTTTTCACTCTCCATGATTGACGCGAAAAATAACAGATTATTATTACAACAAAAAATATTATAAACTCTAACAAGACATCATTCACCACTTATCTAAAACAATAATCACGATCTTATGATTTACGCTGCCGTATACACAATAAAATCGAAACGTTCAGACCAAAATATTATGGTGACAATTTATTAGTATTTACAGCATTCTAACATGATTCCACCCTTCTTGACATGATGACATCCATGAAATCATGAATCCATATTTATTTTCCCGTACCCGTATGTCAGATTGTCAGGCTTTTTGTCTTCTTAGACCATAGATTTTATTCCTCTGTGGAACATTTAACATGTGCAATTCTGCACTGCTACTATTATAACAACTGATTCTGACCCATTCTGACCCAATCTTCGTATTTCTATGTTATTCATTTAATGCTGCGTGATACGTACGAGTTATATTAAAGTCGTCGTAAGCAAGTAAGAAAAACATTCGCTATAGCAAATTGTAAATCTTATTAAGGTCTCATCGATCAAGAAATATTTTTGCTTTACCATTTCATCAGTTGTTCGACGTGGAGAGCTAAGGGGGAGGCCTTTGTCCAGCAGTGGACGTCTTCCGGCTGATGATGATGATTTCATCAGTTTATTACGAACCCACTGTGGTTTCATCAAAGACCTTTTTATACCTACCTGTATCATACTTTATTTATTGTACTTTAAGGGTTACAAGAATAAAAAAATCTTGACAGAGAAGTGAGTTGTAACTTCAAAATCAAACTGTCACAGTACGGGAAAATAAACAAGCGGCATTTTGGTATAAACAGAAACATTAAGAAGAGATTTTGTTTGCTGATGTTTTTCATTATTCAGGAATATAATTGAAATATAAATGCTATGATAATATAACAAATTGTTCAAAAATGGAATGTACTCAAAGGCTGGAGTGTACTCAAGAGTTATACAATACACATACGGAGAAAACATGCCCCGAACAGGTTGGTGCTTTAAAATTGATTCTTAGTACCTAGTCTCATTCTATTTTGATACGTACGAATTCCGATTGAAATACTAAAAGTCCATTTTTCAAATTATTTAAAAATCATCTGAATTTACCACAATCTTAAAATACTACTTATTGTTGGTGTAGGAGATGTACTAAAAGATGAGATTAATAAAATTGCCGCCCATATTATTAGATGTTGTTTGCTTACAGATTGGATATCTGGGTATATGTGGAGCGAAACACCCAGTTTTAAAAGGCCCAAACAAAATAGGAAGAGACCCTCAGACATGTAATATAGTTCTGAATTTGAATGTAAGTATCATGCATAAAAAAAGAAAATGTTAAATGATTACAGAAGGTTAATTAATTATTATTTTTAATTTTACATGCACTGGCAATGTATTAAAATTAGTTTTGTTATTAAGAAGCTGTCCCTAAGGATTCTCAGTGACCAAAAAGTAGTTACTTATGTAAAGTGAAGTTACCGATTAATATGGAAATTTATTCAAGTCATTACAATTTCTTGTATTTTGTTTAGCTCTTTCAGACAAATTTAATACAGTGTGTATCAAAAAGATGTTTAGAAAGGCACTGGCACAAATTCTGTAATAAAAACTATTTGTAAAGCAGCCAATTCATTGAGAAATAATATATGTCAACCTTTAGATTACATGACCTACAACATTAGCATCTATTTTTATTGACACATCTATGAGTCTTGGCCTGATCATCAAGTAGAAGATAGAATTCTTTTATCTTAGCAAATGTTTTTTACAATATAATTCTTTGCCGGTGTCTATGTTCCCTAAAGGGTATAATGATTATAATAAATTAGTTGCTTACAGATAGGAATGCTCCATCATAAGTCGCATCTTTATTTATAATCACTTTTGATAGTAGCCAAATGCCTGCCCTTTACTAAATTAAAAAAAAGGTCTATGGTATTATTGTCCAGAGAAGTAGCCATTACAATACCAAACCTGATAACTTATTTCTTCATTAATGCAAACTTTACTACATTAAAACCAATTTTTATTTATTATTTTTCTTTGTTCAGTGTAAATGTTTTCTTTTTCTTTTTTTGCAGTCTGTTTCAAGACAACATGCTGTGATAAATGTACTAAATAGTAAAGAGTTTATGCTTATGGACTTAGATTCGGCTAACAAAACAAAATTATTGAATGTAAGTATTTTTCATTAACAACTGACAAAGTAGCCGGCACCTAACTTGGCAAGAAGTTGGAGTAGTGGGGGAAAGTTCGCGCATCATGCACTTAATGGAAATAAAAGTGGTCCCTTTTAGTGATTGTAATTTTTTTTATGATTATTGCCATAATATATCTTCAATATCTGTTTAAATGGAAGGAAATTAATTCGTGATATTTATTAGGTGCTATAAATAAAATACCTAAATTAATTTAAAAGTAACGTTTAACCGTCTCTTTTTCAGTAAGAGTTTCTTTTGATATGTAACAATACACATCATAGACCATTTTTCTGGCCTGTCTACGTAAAATAACGTTTGATCTCGGCATTGTAATAACCAAAGGAAAAATTTTTTAAAAAAAAAAACAACAACAATTCTTAAAAATAACAACAACTTATAACAAAAACGAAACAATAAACTTTAAACTTAACAAAAACAAAGAGATCAACTTTAGGGCACGCAAGTGTATTCGGGAGCGAACGAGACGTGGACACAGTGCGGGGGGCAAGGGTCTACTGACGCACCAATCACGCACTCGGCTCGGCGTTGTCACACACCCCGCGCCCCGCTTGCGTACCAGAGGCATCTAAAATATGACTTCTGCGCATTTAACGACTCTTGCCAAGTTACGAGCCGGGGTCTGTAGTAGGTATTTTAAAAACCCCACTCTAAATACATAAACATAATTTCCTTGTGGACCAAAAGCCCAAAAGTTAATTTTTTTGATGAGTTATTCAAGCAATTGTTTGATGCCAATTATATTCATAAATATTATTGCTAGACAAACAACACAACGAAAGTGTCCCTTGTAGTATTTGCATAAAGCAGCTAAAAGCAACAAAACATCAATTATGTTAATAATTTATGTTTGTATTAGAAAACATTGCAACCCTACATACCTCATCGAATAAAAGATGGAGATACCGTGCAGTTTGGAGATATATTTGGGGTGTTCAGGCTTTTGGAAGAAGACAATGAGCTGCCAATGACTCAAGCTATTGATATCCCTGAGACACCGGTCACTTACAAGCATGTGTCAAAGCTCAATAAGGCCCCAACCACCTTGATACCAGAATCGCCTGATGTCAGTGACAAGGTGAGTACTAAGTATAAGTGATATTTCATGACATTCGATTTTATCTTTATAGTTTGAGTTTTCTGTCTTTATAGTAGTTAATATGATGTTTTTTCAATATTTCCCGTATCCTATTTTCTGTGCATAATTGCCTTTTTTCTAAATAATTTTGCATGCAATTTTGCATCATAATTTGCCTTTTTTCTAAATAATTTTGCATGTATCAACAAAACAACAAACATACTTACTTTAGTATTATATGAGTCCTTAATCTAAAGAAAATTATAATATTTTCCAGGATGATTCGTTTGCAACACCCTCACAACCACCAATAAGTATGAAGTCCAGGTTATCAAGTCCTTTTATAAAAACAAACAAAACTCTGTCAACAGGGAAATCTCCTAATACTTTCGGTCATCGAATTTCACTTCAATCAAAAAAGTCAACTTCACTAAATTTTGTAGACAATCCTAATACAAGTCTGAATGAATCTTTTACATCTGTTAAGAGCGGAAATGTATCTGATAATATTTTTGAAGCAGACACACAAGTGCCCAACCTTGTCACTAATGAGAGTACAGATTCAATATTTACTGCTGGCACGCAAATTCCCCCGGAGAGAGCCATCTCACCAAATGTGCATAGTATGGACACACAAGTGCCCACATCGGACCATCTGCACAGCATGGACACACAAATGCCCACAGTAGAACATTTGCCACAAGTACGCAAAGTTGATGACCAGCATGAAATGCACATAGATATTTATGCAGCCAACAAAGAAAATAATAAAGATATTTTCAATGCTGAAACCCAACCATTTGGCATTGTTGATGATTCAATAGATAATGTGGACACTAATAAAACCAATGTGACAAACACATCTGGTTGCTCAGCTGAAGGAGACATAAAGGATAAACTTAACACTTCAGAAGAAGAAGTGCTCTTTGATGACATTGACGGTGAATGCTTTGAGGAAGACTTTAACTCTCAAAACATACTACAAGGTGAAATCCCAATAATTGAAGAAGATGCGTCAAAAACCAAAGATAATCCAGTCCCGTGCAGTAGAGACAAGAGACAACCTTCTGACGATTTGACAGACTGTGAAGATATAGATATATTACCAACACAGAAAATTGCAGAGTTACCCAAAATAGATATTGAAAAAGAACCAAATCAAACAGACACAAATGATTTAACATGTTCAAAAAGGACTGTCCGTATAAAATCTGATAGTTCTACAGACTGTGAAGATATTGATATTGCACCAACGCAAATAATACCTGAACTGCCTATTGTCAAAGATTCTAAAATTAAATCGGACATCAAAGTTACAAAAAAGCTATCTAAAAGAGTGAACAGAATAAAATCTGACAGTTCGACAGACTGTGAAGACATAGATTTCATGCCTACCCAAAAGATACCTGAAATAAAACTGGCCGAAGATGATGACGCTACCGATTGTGAAGATGACGTCCTTGTCGTGAATCAAAAGGAACCTCCTCCAATTCCACTCGTTGACGATGATACACAAATTGCTACTCAAATAATTGAAGTGGATAATACTAAAAAAGAGAATATACCATTGGAAGACTTGCCCACACAGATCATAGAGGTTGACAAGGGTGTAGGTGACTCTAAAAACGTAGCTTTTGAAGATCAATTGACGCAAATAATAGATGAGGCAGTACCTACTAATAATGATTCTCACAAAAAATCTCTTAGTGTGACGGACAGCCCTTTTAAAATACCATTTCAGTCTCCAATAAGAATAAAGAGTAAGGATATACCCAAATTAAATGTTAAAGATAAAACTGAGAAAAGTAACCCAATTGAAGTGGATCCTAATTATTATAATGATACACAAGATATTTTCGAAGATCTGTGCACTCAAAGGGAGCAGCCTGAGGTCCAACCAATTACAGAGGATGAGGTCGTCCCATGTTCCGTAGAAGATTATAAAGTAAAAGACAAATTCCCAGGCATTGAAAAAGACTTAAGTCCTTTAAAAAAGGAAAATGATGGACTTACTGAAGAAGCGACATTGGAAAAAGTGTCTAAAGGAGACATTTCTGATGTATATTCTACTCCGAAAAAGGCTAAAACTTTCGTTTTTACAGACAGTGACTTACCAAGTAGCCAAGAAATAAAAAAAGGTGTTATTTCGCACACAAGATCCTCCGCCACAGAGGAATCTTCCAGCGAATCCGAAACTGAAAACAGTTTAGATGAGCCGTTTAATCCATTTAAAAACTTAAAACAGAAAAGTAAACCCGCTTTTTGTCTTACTAAACGCTTGGAGGTTAATAAATTACCAGAAAGAGTAATAACTCGCAAGAGAAAACCCATAAATACTGATAGCAGTAGCACAAATATTTTGAAACCAACATACTTAACAGAGCAGGAAGATAACATCGATGCGGAAATTCTCACGGAAAATATAAAACGTCTTAAAACTTACGAACGAATGAGAAGTAACAGGAATTCTAAGAAAGACGAAAGTATTAAAGGGGAGAAAAAAGAAAATGTATCTCAAAAGGAAACAGATAAAACTAGCGAACCTAAAGAAAATTTAAAAATAAAAATTGATAAACCCAAAATAAAGGAAGCCAAGTCAAAATCTGATATTACTGAAAGGAGTGACAAAGTTCACAATAATCAAGTTAAAGAAGAAGAGAGTTTAAATATCGCATCTGGAACTCGACCAACTACCAGAATTACTAGATCTAAGAAAAAAGACACTGCAAATAAAACCAGTGTAAGTAAATCATTCACCGACAAAGTGACAGTAAAGGAGAATAAGAGAAAACGTGCGACCAAGAAACAAGAGAGAGAAAGATCTAAGTCGCCTGAAATGGTAACTAGGAATATTAAAAGGTCAGCGTCACCAAAACCGAGGTCGAAATCACCTGAAGTAGAAGTTAGGAGAAGTACAAGACAAAGGAAACCGAAGGCGAAATATGCAGAAAGTGAAGTGAAAGCTCCTAAGTCTATATTGAAGAACAGTTCGCTTGAGCAGAGCACGGTGTATAATATTTCATCGTCTAGTACGGAGTCGCCGCGCAGTTTGAAGAGGTCTATGTTAGATTGTAGCGACGCTCCCCGCTCCAAGCGCACGAGGGCACAGACATCCTCTACCAGCAGCATCAGCAACGCCTCGTTGCGGGCAACACCCGCGAGAGCCATGAGGACACACCATGTGCTTTTCACTGCATACACCAGCACAGAAGACAAGCAAAAGTTGGAGAAATTAGGTAAGATTTTTTGGAAGCTTTCTTTATTAGTGATTGCAAAAAGTTATTGGTATTGATTGAGATGTATAGAATCCTAAAACAGTACATTTGAATTTTGTTTTATTCTTCTGACTAAAGCCAGTAAAAAAAACAACAGTTACTTACACATTTTCTTTTAATACTGAGGTCTATCATTCATGCCAAATTTGTTGTATTAAGGAAAATACAATCATTTATTTTATTTAGGAGCAGTTCTAGTAACAAATGTGATGGAGTGCACTGTAGTGCTGACGATGCAGATAAAGCGCACATTCAAACTGCTGTGCGCTGTGGGGCTGGGCCGACCCATCGTTGGGCCTGGATGGGTGCAAGCTTGTACTGACACACACATGATTGTTGGTAAGGATCCCTTACACTTTACACATACCTATTTATACGGCTATATTTTGTATTCGTATTAAAATACGACGGTAAACAGAGTGCCAACCTTCCCAAGAAGATGCTATACTTTCACGCTGGAACCAAGTTGTGAACCAATTCTATTTAACAGAGATTAGAGACATAATATTAACATTGGCAAAGAATATAGGCTATTACAATTATAATGCTGTTAAATTAACAAACGAAGTGGTAGGAGAACACAATTATGCTGTCCCGAGTATGGGTCTATTTGTCGATTTACCAACCATATCACATACCCAAACTTGAATAAATTTCTTGTCTATGATCAGCGGAACCTAGTACAACGAATTTATAATCAACGACCCTCAACGACGAAGGAGCATAGAGAATGCTCCTAAAGTCGACTGTTAAGCGGTTTCTTACAAGGCTATTATCGCCCCTTACCATCCACAGTTTATGGTAATTACTAGTTTAAAAACCAAGTTTGTTCTAACGAAACGTTCCACTCCCAAATATTTTATAAAGCAGTCTACGACATCATTAATAAGGAACACGGCAGACTAAACTGTTGGTACAGATTTTTAGAAAGCGTTTGATAAGGTGGGACACTCACTAGTAGACAAAATTGCTTATCATACAATAATAGGCAATAAAATTCACTGGCTTCATGTCATTCATTTTAATAGGGCACAAAGAATGGTTATTAGTGGACACTGCTTTGATTTCATTCTTGCAATCTCTGGTATTCCGCAAGGGTCGATATTAGGTCTTTTTTATACTGTATGACATAAACCAATGTTTCAAGCACTCAAACTTCTTGTGTTGTCCTTGTCTTTTGTGATTATTCATCAAATAAAATTTTCCTCTTTATAATATTAGTGCAGACAATTATATGCATGTTAGGCTGTCCGATTTACAATTATTAAATTATTATATACATTTAAACTTTTTAGCTTAGAATCTAGAAGTCTAGAAAACGCCACGACAATGCAAACTTTATGATGCTAGGTATGACTGCATAGCCATCAGAAATAAAATATCCTATACTATTAAGATATGTTTCTTTTCTTTTATAACTAGTTTAGAAGTAGTGTTATTTTAATAAAATTATGTCCGTCTTACCATTATCAGATACGAAACACTCAAATTGAACAAAAGCCTCCCCTAACTGTTGACCTATTCTTATTGTTTTGTTATAACTTTTCTTTTTATTGTTTCAAACTTTTTCGCTTGTATTGTAATTATATTAGAATAAGTAAACATTTTTTACTTAGTTGTCCATATATCCCTTCCCCTCCCGTCGTAACATCATTTTTTTTATTTGTCCTTTCTTCACTTAACTTTGCATTAACTACCTACATTGAACTGTGTATGTGTAAGTGTAAGTGTATGTAGATGTGGTAAACCACATCAAACAATTATTTAACTTATTTTAATTCATGATCATGCAACTGTTTTTGTTTTTCTTACCAGATAAAAACTTGTTTGTAGATCTTCAAATAAAGAACTAAGCCTTTTTGTTAACTTGTGGACGTCTTCCGACTAATGACATGTTAACCAAACTTTTTTTAGCTATCATTGTTTATTTTTAATAATAATAAGCAAGTGTTCACGTTCCAAATAAAACTTATTTACTTAACTTTTATTTGCAGACCCTTGGCTGTACTTGGTGAAAGATGAGGCTGCTGAGAAGCGGTTCCAATTCAACTTGCAGAAGACCTTAAACAGCAATAGGAACTTCTTGAACGGATATAACGTTTCCTCCACACCAAACGTGCAGCCTATCGCCTCTGAGATGAAATGTGAGAGCAATTATGAATAACTTTATGCAAATGTTTTAAAACTGTTTCACATGGACGAGCCAACTTGACCGCAGTTATACCAGACGACGTGAACAAATACTTGCGGTGTGTTTCGCCGTGTTAGTGAGGTTACCGGAAGCCCTCACAGTCAAATCACCACCTCTTTGCGACGTTCTGGTAACTGCTCTTGCCATGTATCCATCCGGTACTCGGGTGCAATAACCTCAAATGAACTATATATGCTAATTATTAGTTTTTTTATTCCAATTGTTTCATAAAAAACCTTAGTAAGCTCTTAACCTACTCAAGGTATGCGTAGTATATATATATGCGAGCCTACGTAAACTAATAATAGCTTATCCGCTTTTAACTAAGTATAAATTGTGTTTCAGTGATAGTGGAATGTTCAGGCGGTACTTGGAAGGAGAGTGGACCAAACTGGGTATGTGTGTCGTGTCCCAAGGACAAGGATCTCTGGCCAGCTCTGAGGCGACGAGGCGCCGTTGTCGTCACCACGGAGTTCATACTTGGGGGAGTATTGAGACAGAAACTTGACATTGCTATGCATACCGTTACCTAGGCATGTCATGTCAATCAATGCTGCAATTTTTTATTTAAAATTTGTTTGTATCCCAAGTCAATAAAGTTGGTAATCAAATAATAAAAAACACAGAAAAGAGTAAGTTAAACATGTAGCTGTCGGAAAGGACTGCTTTGTTTCGATATATCATTAAAAATAGTTATCTCTTTTATAAAGTGCCCGATAATTTGCTTATTGTATAAAAATTGGTTATTATACAAATCGACAGCTGATCCGGTCATGTTTCTGTTTCTGCATTTTGGACTTAAATGTTATTTTCCACAAGTCTAAATCATTTTTTTAGTGCAGCTTTAATTCTTTTTCAAGTACTAAATATGTTAGGTATTATAGGTATTATTGTTGGAATTATAAACCTAAGAACCTAATATTTAATATATACGGACAGGCTCCGAAATGTGATGTGTTTATTAACAATAAGCAATTGTAAATAAATCGAATTTGACATTAATTTTTTTTGTGTTTTTACGAAATAGTTACGTAGACTATGTGTAAAAAGTACAAATCTCGTGTAACATTGGACTTTGTCGTAACAACAAAAAAGTTGTAAAAATTTTGTAGTGCTATATTTTGTGGACGGTAAAATTATAATGTACCTAATGCTATGCAAATTCCGCCCTTAATGGGGCGAGCGAGAATCGGGCTTTTTTTGGAGGAGCGAAAATCACCAATGGCTTATCTCGCCCAGAGGGACTGTCTCTCCCTCTAAGACTCTAAAGTCTTTTAAAAGTAAAGTAAAGGGTTTTAAGAGTTTGTCATTAAAACATTAAGAGTCTGATATTATCCTGCTCCGGGTTGGGGCCGCGGTACACTTGTCGAGTAGCAACTGTTAATTTGTTAAGTATTAGAAATTATTTAAGTCCCTGTTTTTGCATTATTAAAGATGTGTTAAATGATATAGTTATTATAACGCTCGTTGCTAGGCAACCATTAATTAACATTAGTTTTTCTATACTTCTATACTAATATTTTAAAGAGATAAAATTTGTAAGTTTGTGTATAGGGTGTAATCTTGGGAACCACTGGTCAGATTGCCAAAATTCTTTCACTGATAGATACCTACAATTTTTCTGAGTGCTATAGGCTATAAAATATCACGCTCCTATTAAAAGGAGCCGAGCAGCGAGTGAAACCGCGCGAGAGTAGCTAGTATGATCTAAAATGTACAGTTAGATTGTTATTTACAGTGTCTTTATGTCTAGGAGTCTATCCGCAAAAAAGAGATTGTGCTTGCATTATTACTTAAGACGTCCACAATATACCGAGTTACAATATATTTAAAAAAATGTATAATATCTTAGTTGGATTTGTTGAATGTAAGGTTATAACTTTCATCCACTTTTTCATTTTATCGCTGTATAAATGATAATTTTTTAATGGCGCCCGTGTAGTTTTATGCCGACCAAGGGCACATTATAAATTGATTTTTATTCCTTATTATAGTTATGTTTAATATAATTTGTTTTTATGATTCCATTGTCTCGAATTGTAGAATTGACATGCTTTAATAATTTTTAATTGTTTTTTTTCTAATTACAAGGGTCATACTTTAATGTGAATGAATGATTGATAATAATTGTATGATATTGATAATTTTGATAGTTATAATCATAATTTACTAATTTGTAATGTTATTATATGATTGTTGTCTATTATTGTGTAATATAGTCTTAATTTTTATTTGGGTTTTTATTTTTTGTCTAACAAAACATACCTACAAGTACTATAGTTTATATACTTTTTTGTAAAACCTAAACCCCCTTAAGTTAAATGACCAATAAACACCCGCCTGTAAACCGTGTATTTTTTTGCCGAGTCAATGATATTATTTTTCATCAATCATTATCATTTCATCAGATATGTAAAGGATTGCATTTAAATATTAAATTTGTAATAGGAGGTGAGTATATTGAGTTTTGAGTTATGATTAACAAACCAAGTTGATAATTTTCTTCTTCATATACAAGAAAAATTGCTTAACTTCCCACTTTTAAAAGGGCTTTTTTTTTTTTGTGAGGGGAAAATCATCAAATGACTTCTCCCGCCCAGGACCGGGCAGGAGGGAGTGTCAGACTCTTACTGACTAAAAACCCCCCTGTTCCTTCTCCTGCTCTGTGCCGAGGTCGCGGTACCTCATTGCGCTTACCCCGCAACCCCACTTTTAAAAGGGCTGGGAAAGCGTTTGAGCTTCTAATGAGGGACCATAACCACTGAACATTCGATTTGATTCGATTTCGTACATAGGTACCTACATAAAAAAATGTAAATGTAAATAATGAACATTTTTGTTGGATAAAATAGAGGTTAAGTAAGTGGCGTACGCGCCGAAATCGTAAAAAGAAAACAGAAGGAAACACCCATTGACATAGGAAAAATAAGGACTTGAAATACCTACGAAACAAAGGTGCATACCTACAATCCAAAATTTCGCATAAGATGGCTGCCGTTGCTAGGGTTGTGCCGACTAAGTATTTAACGAGTATCGATACAATTTGAGTATAAGTTCTACGTAGGTATAGCTTTAGGGATTAGCCAGCTGATTAACGGTATTTTTTTATGGGAAATCATCTAATGTCATCTCCGGCACTTTTCGTGACAGACAGTAACTGACTAAAATCAACTCCTGTTCCTACTTTGCCGTCGGCCTAGCTAGAGCCCGGAACCCGGGGTTACCTAGGTCTCTTGATTGGCTAATGATTTTCTCAAGTCGAATTTGTATCCATATAATTCTACGGAAAGCGTCTTTAAAAAAAAATAAAAAACATACAATCGAATTGAGAAACTCCTCCTTTTTTTGAAGTCAGTTATTAATGGAATGGTAAAATAGAAAAAGATAGTTTTTGTTAAATGTTTATCCGCCGAAATATGGGGCCCCTTAAATGCGTATGTGCAACACCTCCCGGAATTTGTGATGTGCTCGCGCACAATTTCGGCTCGTCTGATTAAGCGATGATATCTTCGAAACTACATTAGCATAAAATAGATAAGTAGTGAAGTCAATCTTACTGTATGTATCTCACTTTTTATTATTAAGCTTAGTGGTCGCACTGGGATCGCCGCCAACGCTGCTCTGTCAATCGGGCCCGGATAATTATAAAACATGACAATTTGAACTTCTACTTATGTAACTAAAACCAATACCAAAATACTGACGTCTTACTTTAGCCTTACACAAAATAGATTATTTAGGATAATATATTATGTTGAATTTTAAATGGGAGATTATATCGATACTTTTGTGGAATGGTACGTAACTATGCCATATTGACATATTATTGTAAACAACAATTTTTTACTTAAACTGTCTCACAGACAGAAATAGAAGTAAATATATATACTTTGGCAATAGATTCAAGTATCCGTAACATTTTTTCTATCTATGTGGATTATTTTAAGTAATATTTGATGAAAACTGTTTACTAACCTATGCAAAGACAATTTAGGTTGATTTTCGTTCTTTTTTGCACCACACTGCACAATACAACACACAGGCATATTGTATTTTTGTTTCACTATATATCTTTGCAGTTTAAAACAATGGTTCTTTGTAATTTACTGGAAAACCGCAATAATTTAAAACATAAACAACCGTTTGACAGCACAACTACCATGAAACTCAGGTACTCTGAGCGCTTAAGATGGCGGACATGGCACTTACCTACAACTTTGCTAATGTCAAAATGATTTGTTGCCATAATAAGCAACAACTTAAATATTGTTGTCCCTTTTGTCTAATACAATTATTGCCTAAGAAAGAGTGAGAAAAAACTATATTTCACAGTTTGTTTCATATTTAACCCATATTTGTATAAGCGGGTATACATCTATAATAACAGGGCGCCTCTATATATTTTCTATCTCAATGGAAACACCCGACAGAAATGACATTGATTATAATTGACAGTGACAGCAATCGAATCGTAAACTTTTACATGTAAATTATATCTTTGACAGTTATTGTAAATCTGCGATTTGAATTCAATGCAATAACAACTCTTTGTTAAATGTGGTAAAATTAATAATAATTAAAAGTAAAAGTTAATAAAATATTATACAGTCATGGAATGTAATCAAAGGGTTGTTTGTGCCCAGGAACTTCCCAATACACATCGGGAACAGGTGAGTACAAATAATTTTTAATATAATTTAGCCTTTATTGAAATTGTAAAAGCATAGAATTGCACTGAAAAAATATTTCAACTTCGTTAAACGATCAGAATGTAATATTTAAATTACAATCCAATTATGGTTTGAGAAACTTTCTGTGTGGGTAGGCAGGTAAATAAAAAATAGTACCTAATAAAATAGATACATTAGTCTAGATATTTTAAAAATTTTTGGCAACATTATTCAAAGTAAAACGAAAAAATAAGAAACCAGTTAAACCCATATGAATGTATCAAAAGAATTTTTTTATTACTTTTTCCTGTTGAGGTTGTTACAACTACCCTCTCATTATTTACTTACAGATTGGCTACCTGGGTATATGTGGACAGAAACATGCACTTTTCAAAGGCCATAATAAATTAGGAAGAGACCCTGAAACATGCAACATCATTCTAAACTCAAATGTAAGTATGACTAAATTAATTAGGCACCTCCTCTTTGTTAATTTTAGACCTTTATTGAGGTTTGGAGGAGATTCAGTACACAATAATCTCTGAATGAATGCTATTCTCTACTTATATAGTAAAATAATTGCTGGCCACATCACCTCTTTCTTTCACATAATAAATGTTAGTGATCAAATCCTATTTTCTTTAATAAATAATTAAAAAAAAAACTTTTCGTGCTGTATGTAAGTATTAACATATTTTGATCAAACTAACTCTTACTACAGCATGAAAATATTATTATATATAAAAAATATTATTATAGGATATGACATCATCATTCTTCATATCAAATAATCATTAAAATTTCCCCTTATTCTTTTATTTCTATCTTATAAAAAAAAAATGTTTTTGTTTTAAATTAGTAAGTTTTGTATAGAAAAGAATCGATTATAACAAATTTTTTTTTGTTTAATAAACCATTAAATATTAATAGTGTTATGTTATTTTAATTTTAACTGTATGCTTGTAGTAAATACAAATATTTTATTATTTTCAGAGTATTTCAAAACAACATGCTTTGATAAATATAATAAATAGCAAAGAGTTAATGGTTATGGACTTAGATTCTATTCGCAGAACAAAACTATTAAGTGTAAGTTATTATTTATTAAATTTTGAGTTAGTTTAATACAGTACACCATATAAAGTATTTGTACCTAAATCAAAGCCAAAGGTCTTTTTAAGGCACTTTGGAAACATCAAAGTTGAATTGAATTGTTCCTCAGTCAGTCAGTTAAGCGTTTGCAAAAGCTACATGCTTGATCCAAAGTGTAGATGAGTATAGAGAAGAAGAAGCAATAAACTGTTTTTTTATCTTTATTTTATATAGGGCTTTTTTCCTAACAGAAGATTTCAGCCCTATTATTGAATACAAAATTCAGTACTTATCTACTAATAAAGCAGTTAAACCATTTATATAGGTTTAACTAGCTCTTAAGATTAAACATAACATAATTAGATGATACAATCCTTCCCCGCCCCCAATCCCTCCTCAATCCCTAAATCTCCAAATCCCTAATCCTTAAAAGGTCGGCATCATCATCATCATCAGCCTATAAGTGCCCACTGCTGAGCAAAGGCCTCTTCTCACACGGAGAAGGTTTGAGCATTAATCACCACGCTTGCTCAATGCGGGTTGGCGATTTCAAACTTACAATTAGAAATTATAAGTCCAGGTTTCCTCACGATGTTTACCTTCACCGTATGTCAGTGGTGTCTAAATAATCATAGAAAGTACATATAACTCGGAAAAAGTCACATTGGTACTTGCCAGGTTTCGAACCCACACTCTCATGCATGAGAAGCGGGCTCCTTAACCTCCAGGCCACCACGACCTCGTCGGCAACGCACTCGTAAATCCTCCGTTGCGGGTGTCCATGGGCGGCGCTGATTGCTTACCATCAGGTAATCCGTCTGCTCGTTTGCCGACCAATTACATAAAAAAATCAATTTTTTGGCCTCACTAAGATAAAAACCAATATCATAACTTTTAAAACTAAAAACCTGATATCTCTGAGACTCAATACGACGACACTCATACAAAATGTGTTGCACGTCGTCTACGACAACACACACAGCACAATTTGGTGATTCGACTTTATGCATCATGAATGCAAAACTATTGAGAGGCATATGTCCACATCGGAGCCTTAAAGCCGTGACGATCTCTTGCCTACTCATCCCGCCCTCACCGAACCAGAGAGCTCAAGGAAGCGGTTGTATTGTTTTATACCAAATGCCTTTAGTAAGTGACCTCTTGTCGTATTCTGACCATACTTTATAGCAACTTCCTCTTAGTAAAGGTAGTTCAGTATGCCATGGAGCACAAGTATAAATCTCCCCGTCAGATCCCGCTTCATTAACCAACCGATCAACTTCCTCATTTCCTTTTAATCCAATGTGGGAAAGTATCCACTGTAACATAATACCTACTTTTGCCCTTGGCCCTGAGGTCAAAAATAGATCTTAAAATACGGTGTCGTTCTTAGACAGTTTCTAAATTTCGCCGCTAGAGGCGTGCAAATAATCTTTGCATCGCCAATTGCGGCGGTTTAATCTTCTCACCGATAATAATTTTGCAGAAGCAGGGCATGAAATGTTTTGCTGTATTTCTTCATCTGACAAGTCAAGGTCAACATTTTTAATCAGTCCATAGCTTTCTGAATTCTCCAACCTTTTTCTTTAAGCTATTCGCAATTACAAACATAATTCATAGCTAACTTACATTCAAATTGCAATCTAATTTTATAGCGGCTTAAATATTTGACCTGAATGATATTATACCGAAATTATTTTCTTTTAAAATTCGTACCAAAGCAAATTGCTTAGGAAAAGGATCTTTGTGTGATATATACACTTCATAATTCTCCTTGTGCAGTTTACTAAAGAACGCACGACGTGTCTTTGTCTTGCCTTTATTCGGTCCAACTATCTTCATCTCAGTACTTTCCTCTCTCTGTCTCTTTTCAGCTCTCGCCAATTCATGTAACATACTATCTTTTATTTTATTTTAGAGAAACTTAAAGCCATACATTCCTTACCGAATAAAAGATGGAGATGTAGTGCAATTTGGCGATGTATTTGGGGTAGTAAGTGTGCTGGGAGACGAAGATCCACAACCAGCAACTCAGGATATTGACATTCCGGAGATACCAGGCACATTCAATCAAGTCTCAAACTTCAACAAAGCTCCAACTACCTTGGGGTATGACAAAGTGAGTATATAACTTGTCCTCTAAAAATATCAATAAATTTAATTTAGACATCCAGTTTAAACAATTAACGAAAAAAACAACAAATTTGAAATAAGTAGTAGGTAACGGAGAATTATAATATTTTTCCAGGGTGATTCCTTTGTACCGAAAAGTACAAAGACAAAATTATCAAGCACGCCTATAAAAATAAGTGAAACTCAACCAACACACGCAGAAAGACCTAAGACCACGGACTTCGCACCTCATACATCGTCAAATAATTCAACTTCACTCAGTTCTGTAAATAACCCTAACGATATTATTATTATCAATGGAGAAGACATAAAGGAGTCTTTGCAACAAATAGGCAAAATTAATGACCAGCCTGCAGCCAACAAGGATATATTCAACGCTGAAACCAAACCGTTCGGTATTGTTGATCATTCAATTAAGATTGTGGACGAAAATAAAAGCAATGTTACAAATACATCTGACTGCTCAGCTGAAGAAAACAATGAGCAAACGCGCCATACTTCAAAAGAAGTGCTATTTGATGAGATTAGCGGTGAATGCAGAGAAACAGGTGATATTCCATTATTAGAAGAACTAAAAGATGAACCGATAAAGAAAAAGAAGCTTAATACGAAAATGAAAAGAATGCGTTATTCCCGCAGAAACAAAAGCTGTGCCCGTGGAGCCGAAGATCTTGGTGATCCCGGAGAAGACGTCCTCATTCAGCATCCACCCAAAACGACAGTGCAAGGACCAGTGCACCTACTGCAGCATCAAGTTTCGTCTCTTCGACAAACCATGCCACATAGCTCAGATCAAGAACTTAGAAAGGCAGAAAAAGGTTCTGGACAGTAAGTTTTCGTAACTATTCCAAATTTACCTAAATATGACACCCGAATCTGAGTCTTAAGCTTCAACTCGTATGACGGGAAGGATTAATGTATTAGTTTCTTTGTTGCCTGATTCGATTTCCATCTACCGTTATTGTGTAGCTTGAACTTTGTCTGAAAAAAACTCATTTTCTACTTATTCTAGACGAGAAAGCACTGACTGTAGACAGTTGCCTGTGTGAGAGATGCTACCGGTACGTGATTCGGCGCAACAGTTCCTATCGTAAGAGGCCGATTAGCAAACACCCGACCACATTAGCGCGCAAGTAGGTACTTCTATAATAAGACTGATGCATGTTTATTGCTTGAAAATTTTTCTGTGAATAATAGAATTTTTTTACCCAGTGTACTGTAGTGGCTATAGTGTTCAGATAGAAATTAAACACTACGCACTAACTTATAAATGTTTATTATTGAAATACAAAAGTTATCATACAATAGTTAATAAGATATTTGTACATTTACTTAAATATAACGCGAGTAATGTTCAGTGATGCGCGCGCGATCGCTGGCCGATGCGGACTGTCGAGGGCGAGCGAGGGGCGCGGCTCGTGAGCGCGGGGTGTAGGCGGCGACAGCGCGCCGTATACCGAGCGGTTCCCCGAACGTTAGGTATTTTTGGCAACGCGGGCGCCGGGGCTCCGCTAGCGGCTGGACGGTAGGTATAGCTAAGGGTGTGTACAAGCGTGCGTGCGTATAAGGCTGTGTACAGATGTTATACAAATACAAATAAATATTTTTATAGATTGTTAGTGTAATGTTTAGACTTATTGTGTATGAGTTATTTATATGTATGTATGTATGTATTTATGTATGTATGTATGTATGTTTGTATGTATTTATGTATGTATGTATGTATGTAATTATATAATTATGTATGTCTCTTAGCTATACCCTACATCACTCCCCCGCTGAGACCGGTTCACGGTCGATAGTGAGAAAGATGCCGTGGAAATCTCACAGTTCTTCCGCTTCGTGTGGTGGTCTCAGGTTGTCGCTGTGGTGGAACTGGCCATGGAGCAGATGGTTGTTGAGGTGAAGATGATGTTTCATGTGACATGTTCTCATCGCTGTTAGCCATATAAGCCGGTTTAAGTCTGTCAATGGTTACTGTAATGCGTTTCCCTTGAACTTCTATTATGAAGGTTTTGGGTCCTCTTTCAATGACTAAGTGTGGACCAGAGTACGGTGATTCTAATGACTTCTTTAAGGGACCTTTTCGCAAGAAAACGTGAGTGGCTGTATTGAGATCTTTAGGAACATAAAATATCTTCTCACCGTGGCTCGAAGTTGATACAGGTGAAAGCTTCGAAATATGTTGTCTCAGCCGTGCTGCGAAGTCTGCTTCATCCATGCTCTGGTGAGTTATAGGTTTTAAGAACTCACCAGGTAACCGGAGTGACTCGCCGTACACCAATTCGGCTGAACAGGCTTGTATATCTTCCTTCCAGGCGCTTCTCATACCCAGAAGAACAAGAGGTAGGGCCTCTGACCACTGGGCATTGTTGTGGCACATGATGGCGGCCTTCAGTTGTCTGTGCATCCTCTCCACCAAACCGTTGCACTGCGGGTGGTACGATGTTGTGGGACGATGGTAGGCACCTATGATCGACGAGATGCTCTGGAACAGCTGAGAGTCGAATTGTTTCCCTCGATCCGTAGTGATGCTCTCAGGACATCCGAAGCGAGTGACCCAGCCAGAAATGAAGGTACTGGCGCAGGTCTCCGCTGTGATATCAGCGAGAGGGTAGGCTTCCGGCCATCGAGTGAACCTGTCCACTGCTGTAAGGCAATACCTGAAACCAGAAGATGGTGGCATAGGGCCTATTATGTCAAGGTGGACATGGGAAAAACGGTTGGAAGGAACAGGAAATGGGGAAAGAGGAGATTGAGTGTGACGGGTAACTTTGTTGCGTTGGCAATCTGCGCATTGTTGAGCCCATGTTCTGCAGTCTCGACGTATCTTCGGCCACACAAATCTTTCGGATATCAGTTTTGCTGTTGCGTTGGGACCTGGATGACTTAGATTATGAAGATTGTTGAAAATTTGTTTGCGGAAAGTTGGTGTGATGAATGGCCTAGGGCGAGAAGTAGACTGGTCGCAGTATATGTAGGCATCCATAGTTTTAACTTTATCCAACTTTAACGCTGTGTTGTTTCTTAGTAGGTGCTGTAATTCTTGATCTTTCTCCTGTTCTATTTGCAAATGTTTGTAGTTGATGGTAGTGTCGACGCTTTCCAGTCGTGAAAATGCGTCGGCGACTACGTTGTCATTTCCAGTGATGTGGTTGATATCTGTGGTGAATTGAGATATGTAGTCAAGGTAGCGGTGTTGACGGGGTGAACAGTTATCTCGGCTTGTTGTGAAGGCAAATGTGATGGGTTTATGGTCGGTGAACACTTTAAATGTTCTCGCTTCGAGCATGTACCTAAAATATTTTATTCCTTCATATATCGCGAGCAACTCACGGTCATAGGTGCTGTACTTGGTCTGAGCAGGTGATAATTTGCGAGAGAAGAATCCTAGTGGCTGCCAGTTGTCCTGTCTTCGTTGTTGTAAGACAGCACCGATAGCCACATCTGATGCGTCGGTAAATAATGCTAACTCAGCCTCTGGGTCAGGATGCGCGATGAGCGTAGCTTCTAATAAGTTGTTCTTACATGCGTCGAACGCTTTTTGTATGTCAGCTGTTATGACAACAGGCGTTGATCCTTTGATACTCGGGCCGCTCAAAGCTTGATTGAGGGGGGCCTGAATTTGCGCAGCACCAGGAAGGAATTTACGGTAAAAATTTAACATACCTAAAAATCTTCTCAATTCCTTAGCTGTTTTGGGAATGGGGTAATCACGGATGGCCTGTACTTTTTCTGGGAGAGGTCGTATGCCGGCTGCAGATACATGATAGCCTAAGAATGTAACTTCACTAACACCTAAAACACATTTGTTACTATTAATAACGACGCCATATTTTTTTAACTGGTCGAAAACTTTCGTCATGTGTTCAATGTGTTCTTTTTCCCCTTTTGAAAATACGAGAATGTCATCAAGAAATCCGAAAGTAAAATCCAAACCTTGAAGAATTTCGTCCAAGAATCTCTGGAACGTCTGTGCAGCATTTCTCAAACCGAAGGTCATGGCGGGAAATTCGAATAATCCGAATGGCGTTGTAATAGCAGTTTTCTTAATGTCATCTTCGTGAACTGGTATTTGGTTGAAAGCTTTGACGAGATCAATTTTAGAAAATATGGTGGATCCTGACAGTTGGTACGCGAAGTCGTGGATGTGTCTTACTGGGTATCGATCTGGAACGGTCCTTGAATTTAATTGTCTGTAATCGCCGCATGGCCTCCAGCCATCATCTTTTTTAGGTACGAGATGTAATGGAGACGACCATGGACTTTCAGAGCGACGAGCTGTACCGTTTTGTAACATTTGTTCGAATTCCTTCTTCGCGATTTTCAGACGATCGGGTGCCAAGCGGCGCGGTCGTGATGTTACCGGGGGTCCAGGTGTAGTTCTTATGTGATGCTTGGTGTTATGGATCGGTTTTATTTGAGATCCAGCAGGTCTCGTAATTTCAGGGTAGCGTCGAAGAAGGTCGAGATAAGTTGAATGACCTGTAATAGTTTTTAACGACACTAGTTCATGTGTTATTTCTTTGGTTGAAGGCGCGCCGACGGTCAGGTTTGTTATTGAGTCTATCAACTTTTGTTGTCGACAGTCGACTAGTAAATTAAAGTAACTTAAAAAATCGACGCCTATTATAGGTCTTGACACGTCTGCAATAATGAACTTCCAGATAAATTCACGGCGTAATCCAAGATTCAGAGTAAGTTGGTACGTGCCGTAGGTAGGTATCGGTGTGCCATTGGCAGCGACCAGCTCGTAGTTACATTGTTTGTTGTAACGGTAATGCAGCTGATTTTTTAGATACGATCTTGGGTAGGCACATACGTCGGAACCAGTATCTATTAAAAACTGTACGCCGGTACGTTTATCGGAAATGAATAGGCGGCCTTTACAAGTTGAGCAGTCGTCAGCCGCCATTACTGACTGCTTTTGAAGTTTTCCGATTTGAAATTACAGGGTTGATCACATTTAGTAGCCTTTTCACCGAATTTGAAATGGTACCAGCATGTTGGATGTACCTTACTACTCGAATGAGATCGATTTTGGCGGGAAGACGAATGGTTACGACTGTTTGATCTATTTCGGCGGGAAAGTTTATCAACTTTTTGTGTTAATAATTCCACTTGTTTCTTCAGCTCGGCCATTTGTTGATTTATGGTATGTAAATCACTCACCCCATGTGTTGACGATGCAACCGCAACTTCGTGACCTCTCGGCACGACATCATGGATCCTGTCGGCGAGATCAGCTAGAACTTCTAGAGGCGATGATTCTTGTGAGGCGATTATAGGTTGTATACTGCTAGGCAAACGACTGGACCATATTGTCCGCAAAAATTCATCGGGTACCTTGGGGCCGGCGAGGTGCTGCAAGTGGCGAAGGAACTGCGACGGTTTTCTGTCACCTAACTCCTCGTGTGTCAGTAGTTGGTGCACCTTCTTTTCCCGCGATTCTGAGAGCCGCTTAATAAGTTCCGTCTTTAATCGTTCGTATTTTTCGGCCGCTGGTGGGTTGACTATGATATCCTCTACCTCCGACGCGTATCTCGGGTCGAGATGACTGACGATGTAAAAGAATTTTGTTGTGTCCGCCGTAATATTTGAAATTGCGAATTGGCCTTCTACTTGCGCGAACCAAATCGCTGGCTTTTCGGGCCAAAATGGCGGCACGCGCACGCCCACGCGAAAAATGTCGCGTGATGCCGCTGCATCAGTCTTCGCGTCATTTCCTGATTCACACATTTTGTATATCACGTAAGGCACTTGGATATTGTCACTTAGGTTCGCTGAGTCCACGATTCCAGCATGAGGTAGGTAGCACAGGCAGCACAATTAGCACGTGTTAAGTCTTCGGGGTCACCACTGTAGTGTCTATAGTGTTCAGATAGAAATTAAACACTACGCACTAACTTATAAATGTTTATTATTGAAATACAAAAGTTATCATACAATAGTTAATAAGATATTTGTACATTTACTTAAATATAACGCGAGTAATGTTCGGTGATGCGCGCGCGATCGGTGGCCGATGCGGACTGTCGAGGGCGAGCGAGGGGCGCGGCTCGTGAGCGCGGGGTGTAGGCGGCGACAGCGCGCCGTATACCGAGCGGTTCCCCGAACGTTAGGTATTTTTGGCAACGCGGGCGCCGGGGCTCCGCTAGCGGCTGGACGGTAGGTATAGCTAAGGGTGTGTACAAGCGTGCGTGCGTATAAGGCTGTGTACAGATGTTATACAAATACAAATAAATATTTTTATAGATTGTTAGTGTAATGTTTAGACTTATTGTGTATGAGTTATTTATATGTATGTATGTATGTATTTATGTATGTATGTATGTATGTTTGTATGTATTTATGTATGTATGTATGTATGTGTATGTATGTATGTAATTATATAATTATGTATGTCTCTTAGCTATACCCTACAGTACCATTTTTCTAAAATATTTTTTGTCATCTTACCAGGTTCCCCAAAAGCTGTAAAGTAAAAACACGGTGGCCACTAAATCACGTCGCAAAAAAGACACAAGTTGACGACAAAATCAAAAAGAAACTTGGACCTAACTCTAATAAGAGAAAATCTATAGCATCAGACAAAGAGGACACTGCGTCTTCCGAAAACCCCAACAAAAACGCTCTTGACACAGATTTGGTAAAACAAGACAATAACAATAAAGTTCAACTTAAAATAGAACAAAACAAGACCTTAGTTGCCAAGTCCCAAACAAATGACCCAATCTACCAAACTAATAGAAGTTCTGTAGAAAACGTTGTTTGTATAACAGAACCACAAAATAAATTAGGACGGTATGACTCTACGCATTTTTCGCTTAAAGAAAATATGATAAAAGAGGAACAGAAAGTAAAGCATAGCATTCAGGATCCAGAAAAACACAACAATCTAGAGGAGTCTGCAAGAAAGTTAGATTTAGGAGAAAATGAAGCAAATATTCTGAAACATGTAAAACTGAATGAAGAATGCACCATAAAAATCCTAACCAACAAGAAACCAGCTGACATAATCTTATTGAAAAGAAAGTGGCAGACTACGAAGAACCAGAGTAACTTGTCAAATAATGAAGATATGATAAAGAGTTATAACGAAGAGAGCTTAGTAAAAGAACGTATTACTATACTTAAGAATATCTCCTTGAATAAGGAATGTACCATAGAAATCATACCCAAAAAGAAAATACCTGACATAGATATTTCAAAAAACAAATCTCAGATGCCTGAGAACACCACGCAGGTTAATGACAACCTTAGTGAGTTGTCACAGACCAAAGATCACGCGGCAGAGACTAATGCTATGAAGTGTAAGGAATATACATTGAACGAAGAAAATACGACTACAGTAAACAATATCTTATCGAATGAAAAAAGTACTATAGAAACTACACCCACAACGAAACCAGCCGATATAATTTTATCCAAAGGCAAGTCACTGGTTAAAAAGAACCCAAGTGGGGTATTAAAGAACAAAGATTGGTCTAAAGACAAGCATTCTATCCCTATGAACAGTGATAGTAAAGCGGATGGGTTGAAACAAGATATTGAAGTGAACAATTTCTCACCGAATGAAGAATGTGTTACAAAGACCAACGAGAAACCATGTAAAATAAACATCTCGAAAAACAAGTTGCCAGTTAAAAACAATCTGAATGTGGTAAAGCACAAAAATAGACCTGAACTTAAATTCAAGAACAAGCATTCTATTTGTATGGGCAGTGAAAATACTGATGATGTAGTAAATGAAGATAGTCATATAGTGAACAATATACAAATAGATGAAAATTGTGATTTAGAGACACACAAGAAAATACCGTTTCATGTAAACGTATCAAAAAATGTGGGGCAGGTGATGAAGAATCCAAGTCCGTTGCCAAAGATCAAAGACCATCACAAAGATTCTGAAGCTACTATAAAGAAGCTAGAGACAAATCCTTTAATTTCCACCCGCAAGGTGCTCCCAGGTGAAAAGGAGATGAACTTATACTGTTCTATAGATTTTGACAATGTGAAGGGAGTCACTCCTCAAGGTTGGGAAAAGTGCAATTCTATGATTCAGTTTGATGAAGAGACTAAAAAGATTTGGAATGAGCTCCAGCGACCGTACGGCAATAGGTCCTCATTCTTACGTCACCTTGTCCTCTTAGAAAAGTATTTTAGACGTGGCGACCTAATATTATCACAACGCAAATAAATGATTCTTCATTGAGGAGACAGCAGTGTATACGACGACGGTAGTTATTGAAGGTAGATTAGAAGATAGAATTTGGAAGGGTTTGGAAAATGACCAGTAAGAAGGCGAGAACGGAGAAAAACATTAAATGAACTGCTAGTAAATATTAAAGCAAGAATAATCAAATATATTGAGTCCAGTATTGATTAACTCATCTCGCTAATCCTTAAGAGTTGTTAGTCGATCCAGAATGCTGTGCTCAACACCGAGATGCTGATGAAGGGGATATCGGAGTCCATTTTCCAGTTTATTGACGATCAAGAAACTCAAGAGCAAGCCTTCACGGTCGCGGTTCACGTGTCTGGTGAGTTTTATTGAGAACAGTATAATACCTTACTATATTTCTTTAACGTGTTTTTTTAAATCATATAAACTAGTTCTTGACTGTAATCCTACTTGATTATAAGCAGTGATGCAATCATTGATGGTAAGACATATTAGTTTATTAAGAATCTATTCACTCTAGCCTTGGAGACACCTAAATCATAACTGATAGGGAGACCGTTGCGGGCAAGCTATTCCAATCCTTAGATGTGTGTGGTATAAACGACGAAACGAAACGCTTAGACCGGATGGTAGAGGTCTCAGCAATATAAGGATGGATACCTGCCATGCGCCGGATTGTCCGATGGTAGAAAGGTGATTGGGAACCACTCATGTAGTTCCCGCGCACACTCTCCAAAAGTGTAGTTGTGATTATAAAAAAAAAACAATCTTTTGGTAATAACATTCTGCTTGAATCGGTCTACCTACTCCTCTTACGAAAAGTTGAAACCGTCGCTATTTTTTTTCTCTGGTAACGTATGCGAGCTCACAATCTTTCTCTAGCTCTCAAAGCAATGTTATGTGCAGGTAGATGGACATTTTTCACAACAGCCATTGGTAATACGTTTTTTTTAAAAAAAACGGTGCCCCACACTCGGCTCTTCTTCTGTGGCATGGGTTCGTTTGCAAATATACAATTTTACACACACACATCACACCCAGACCCGGAACAACCATTTTTGGATCACACAAAGAGTTGTTCCGTGCGAGAATCCGACATTGCAACAGCAGTGGCCCAGCCATCGCGCCAACCGTGCAATAATACGTTAATTAACTATGCAGTCAGTTAGAATGTTTACACGAATCGGGGCCCCAGACCTTTTTATTTATCAGGTAATTGTGACTTATAAAACCAATATTTTTTCAGGAAAACCTGAGACACAAGGTGTTTTCAGACACTTGTAGTACCTCTTCTAGTGGCAGACTGACAAATATTATAAACGCAGTACCTGAAAGCTTTAATAATGATAATTTATTTATTTTAAGAATCTATTAATATTTTATGTACATAATATTTAAGTTGTGACAGACATTATATAATATAATATTACGTAATAAATACATTCTGTCTTTTTTTTCTACGCGATGGCTTGTGTGTATCAGCTATCTGCTCATATTTATATGCTCATCCGTTTAACGCTAAGAGAATGTAATACCACTAAGCCCTATTGTAGTATATGATACATTTAATAAATACCGGTACCTAACGCATTCAAATCACGTATAGAGTATCTACAAGCTAGGGCGTACCTATCAGACGTTATCATGTTTTATCGGCTCTATAATACTTGAGAATCTAATATTTGTTGAAGTCCAAGTCCTGTGTTAACTTTAGCGGTGTAATAAATTTAAAGTTTTATTTTCATTCTGTGTAGTTGTTTTGAAGCTGTGCGCGTACAATCAATTTATTCAACATTTTGTTCTACCACAATATTTTTATCTGGGGAATTCCGCGAAGCGACCGGTGACCAATGACGTCATTTCTCGCCAAAATATTGCTATCTCACTCTACTTTATTGCATAATTAAACTATATTATTATTGATTCTTTATTCCGTTCTAGTTTAATAACAAAACGGTAGATTTAGCTTTATAAATGTATATACGTTAGGTACGTGCAATAATGAAACGCTGTTTGAAGGTCATATTTTGTATGATAAAGAATTCAAATGGATGACAGCATTTGAATGGTTTTGACGTTCCTATCTAGCAATTTAGTGGAGGATAACGAAGTCATGTTATACTTAGTTTTATAGATAGATATTTTTAGTTTCTGTCAAAACAAGACTCGGTAAACACGTGTTGTTGGTGATGACCAAAGTATTATGTAGGTAGTGATGTTTTATATTCCTGGTTTTGATAAAGCTCTTTACATGTAAGTATCTAGGTAACTACTTATTTTATCTTTTTTCCTGTTGCTGAGTCTAGTTCGTGTTTCGGTACTTTACCATTACTATCGTTGCCTATATACAAACATACGTATGTACCTATAGGTCACCAATTACTGACCCTTAGTAAAAAAAAACTAATTTAATAAGGTCCTGTTCATTTGTGCTCAATTTTTAGGAACCTACCAACTTAATCTTTTGGGTACCTATTCAAATTAGTTAAAGTAGGTATTTATTATTCTGTGAGCACTAAATAAAAATGTATTGTATAGGTATAGGTAGTTTTCGAATAACATCCATAGTATGTACCTAACTGTTTTTGTTGTGATATTATGATATGACCTTCAACGCGAAATATGGGATAGGTCTACCAGTCACACTACATATATATCCGCTAAAATCGATACAATGGGCCAAATTATAATCTACGTAAAATATAGCAGGATTTCTGGGACTGTGACGTCACGCCTATAAAGTTCTGAATTCCTTATTGGTACTCAGAGTTGGTACTCTCTTATTGGGTATGCTGACCTATTTAATGGTGGATGAATCATCGTGACCACAGACTATGAAGTATCGATACATTAACATTATTATGTTTCCCTGAAATTATAAGTATAAGTATTAATTGTAGTAAGTAGTGTGTTGTTGTTGTTGTTGTATTTTTATTTTTTGTACTTAATAAAAATAATTAGTATTAAATAATTTGTAAGATTTGTAATTCAATTGAGCACAAACAATCTTGTTATAATACAAGGCCTTGAAAAGTACATACTTTGTTGCCAAATTGATCCATCCCAATGGCTAGGTACACTCAAATTATGGCTGCTGGTACTTTTTGAAACGATGTATCGTAGGTACTCTACAATTCTACATACATAATACATTGTTACATCAGCATCGATGATAGAAAGAGATAGCGATTATTTCGAGTTTTTTTATCGTATATCGTAGAGATTTCAATTTGACATACATCGCATAGTTTAACTTATATTTTGTCTTATTAGTCCAGTATTGCCAACGCCCAGAAATTGAAAACAGCTAATTTCAAAAAAAAAAAAACGAGAACACAATTTGTACAATAAAAACCAAGATTCATCCTATGTTTATTAAACTAATTAAGAATCGTCTTTATTTTTTTAAGAATTACTAGGAAATAGGTTACCTACGTACCTACCTATTCTATTATCAAATATTCAAAACAACAACGAAAGGAAAATGAAATAAAACTATTTACTATTTACCTACATCCTGAATTGAAATAATATGTTGTATTTACAAATTTTTCAGTTAAAATTATCATAGTTATATTATTTTTGTTATGGTTTTGCGCAAGCTTTTCTGTTACTTAAAATATTTAAATTGATTGATGGTCTATGAGTTTGGATGTAATTGTGAAAAAACTTAAATATTAGTAGTCTACACTTTGTGGTGTTATTTAGTTTACATTTATTATTTGCAGTTGAAAAAAATCTTTTTGAACATCATAAATATTCGAAAACAGTAAACAGAAATCTTAGGAATCAATGTGAAAATAGCGAATGTAGCTGGCAACACTGGTCCATTAATTGTTATTCATGAAAAAACATGTCATGGTTTGACCTTGACATGTTTTGCACAGTATGCGCGCGCAGGTTTTATTATTCCTATTTTTCAATAGTTCCTGTAGTCTTAGCACCATGTCTTTTGTTACATACTTAGGCAACCATTCAGAGCAAATATGTATATTTGCATTTATAGATACATATAATTGACCAAGTTTGTTAGATGAATAGGGTAACGTAACATACTACGGTCACAATTAACACAAGGTACTTACATAGGGACCTGTGTTTTTTTTTTTTATGGAATAGGTCGGCAAACGAGTAGACAGATTACCTGATGGTAAGCGATGGACACACGCAATACCAGAGAATTTATGAGTGCGTTGTGAACCGTTTTGGGATTAGAGTTTTTGAGATTTAGGGATTGTCAGAGGGGAAGAATATGGGCTCTTATTACCTTACTCACATAGTGAAACACACAACACACACTGTGGTTACACAAGTTTTATGTGTATGTATGTAATACTTTGTCACAGAAACGTAATTTTTTCTGATTTTTTTAAATACATGTAAGTTTCATAAAACCTATGTGCTAATAATACCTAACGTTGATTTATTTTCAGACAATCACCACGTTTCTAAGATTACAGCGTGAAAATCATAAATTATGAATGAGTTTCAAGAAATAAACTTTATTTCCGAGAATATCATTTTCCTAATAAAAAGTTTACAAAGTGTTAAAATAAAAAATGTCTGGAATCCAAGAAGACTTTCCCAATTTCACAGCCGAACCTAAAAATGTTGATGATAAAAAGGTAAATTACGAAAATGTTGCAATTATTTTAAACAATAATCATACAAAACCATATGAAGATCAAAATGGTATTCCTCCAGGAAAAACTAACGTTACCGATATCAGTAACGTAACAACAGGCAAAGAGCTGCAGGCAGATTTTAGTGGCAAGAAAGAAGCTTCTATTTCTCAACAACCACGACCTATAAATGACGACGAAAGTTTTCGAGACAATTCTAACGATAGTGGCATAGACCACATAAACAATATAAATACCTTACTAGATGCATTTAATGCAAAAGATTTGAATGGTGTACAAAATGTGAAAGACAATGAACTTAAAAATATTGATACTGCAGAAATTTCTGGCAACGAAGGTCAGAACATTATCCAAAATTCAGTTAAAAATGAAGATATGGATCATGAATTGTCTGACGATGAAAAATTTAAGGCATTAGATTTTTCTGACAGTGATTTTCCTGATTCTCCTGAAATAGAAAAGTCTGAAATGCTGATTCAGAAACCAGTTATTTCTGAAAACCCATTAAGTGATAGCGAACAAGAGAATAGTTCAGATTCTGAAAAGTTTACTCCATTTGTGTTACGTAAGAAGAGAACAAAGCCAATATCAAGAGTAACAGTTGATCTCAATACATTACCTACAAGGATTTCAACACGATATAGAAAACCACATATTGAGAATGTTACTGCAAAAATTTTGAAACCAACCTACTTGACAGAGCAGGAGCCTCTGATTAATAAAGATATTCTTAGTGAAAACATTAGGCGTCTTAAAGTTTATAACGAATTGAAAGCTACAAAAGGTTCTATAGGGAATGAAGTTGTTTTAAAAAAGACAAACGAAAATATTTCGCTACATAAAACAGGCAACGGAAACAATAAAACAGTCTCAAAGGCTAATTCAGGAACCAAAATGCCCATGGGAAACATTGATGCCTCCGATAAACACCAACAACAAAATAAGACTGAAATAGAAAACCCGAATTCTAAGTTAGCCACCACTAATGTTACCAAGATAACTAGATCTAATAGTAAAACTAGTACACTTAAACCTTTTGAACTTGCTTGCACCAGGTTTCAGCTGGAAATAAATGCATCGATTAATAAAAATCGCAGTGTTTACAAAACTCCAGAGAAGGAAAGGTCGAGGTCACCAGAACTTGTAAGTGAACTGAAAATACCTCATGACTCTTGGAAACGGGTATTAAAACCATCTGAAACATCGACACTAGCGTCAAACTCGTATATATCCGAAGCTACACGGGATGGACGAAAAGATACTACAGACAGACGGAAGGTGTTAGAGGACACTTCAAAAAAAGATTCAACTGATTCTAATTCAGTAGTCACAAGGAGTAGGCTAAAAGATTCCCATGTACAAGTATCAACATCATCCGATCCTGCAGCTACGCCTCGTAGAGCACAAACCTTGAATACTCCAAAAAAGTCTCCGACGCAACTATCAAAACCAAGTACCGCTATACTTACACGCAATAGGGCACACCAATCTGTAACGACAATTAGTAGACCACAAGAGCCTCCGAAGCAAGCGTCAAAATCATCTGTTTTAGAGCCTCTGACACAAGATGCAATTTATCCTAAAATAGTACTTTCACGTTTAGATGACCATCAGAAACCAGGATCAGCGTTATCCGTTTCTGTAGTAACTCGAAGTAGACAAAAAGACTCCCTTAAAGAAGTATCAACACCGCCTGGAGCCGTAGTCACACAAGTTAAGCCATCAGGTTCTCCGAAACAAAAATCAACATTTTCTAATTCTGTAACCACACGAAGTAAATCCCAAGAGCCAATAAAAAAAATACCTAATCCTCAGAAGACTGTCGTCCCAAGTAGATTACAAAAGACTTCGGTCAGACGAAGTCAACAACAAAAATCTCGGATAACGGCATCAAAATCAACTAATACTACAGTAATACAGAGGACACAACAAGAATCTAAGTCACCAAAAGTCACACAGATGAAACCGCAAAACATTGTCGTCGTCTCACCAAAAACTGTTACACGTAGTAGACTAGAAAAGACCGTAGACACACAAATAAGACCACATAATAATGCAGTTATCACACAAAGAAGACCACACACTAATGCAGTTGTCACACAAAGAAGACCACAAAAGACGCAAGACAAACACGAATCTGTAGTAACACGAGTAACAAGAGAATCAAAACCGCAAGTCATAAGTAGTGGATTACAAACTCCGAAAGACACACGAAGAAAAACACAAAAGGCTGTGATCACACAAAATGAATCACAACAGCTGCCACCGATCAAAACATCTAATTTACTTAAAGTCGAGAGCATTAAAAGTCAGAGCAAGAAAATAATAAACAACAGTGTAATGGAAGCTTCGAAGACTAATCTGCGGTCCAGATCGTGCAGGCAGACCGCGGTGTCCAATATTATAGACAGCGCAAGGTCGCGAAGTTCGCATAGATTGAAGAGGTGCCTGCAATGCAGTGATGCTTCCAGTTCCAAACGCACGAGGCTGGCAACAAAAACAACGCCTCGCTGTGGGTGACCAGAAAACATCAAGAAAAACATGGGTGAAAATTTTGGTGAGCTGTTTTCTTGGGTCTTAGCTGTAAAACATAACGTTTTTTTTTTCATTTTATCTTTTATAATTACCTACACTACTACTTACTATTTCTCTCATCAACATTCTCCGTTAAAACTTTTTTCAGTAGTTTAGTGAAGTTTTTAATGAATTGAGTTGTTTTTTTTTGCAAACATACAATTATACGTTTTTTATTTATTACAGATACTTCGCCGATCTCGCTGGCGTAGAAGCATTGTGGAAAAGCTCGGAACTTAAGAAAGAGAGTGTCTTTTACGTGCTAGAAATAAATAGAAAGTACAAAATAGAGTGCCATAGACCTTAATTAATGCACAATTATTATATTTTTTATACTTAATGGCTCGCCTGGTGGTCGGTTATAATGTGGCCGACGGTAAGCTTATAAGCAGCCTATTAGCTCGAGATTCGAAAATCGAAACCACCAAAGTTATTTCGCCTGTCCATTGAGATCAGGCGTTCACCAATATTATGTTGCAATACCAAAAAAATAATAAAATACCTAATTCATAAGTGTACTTACCATTTTATAAGTGTTTACTGTAGCTTTGACATCAAATGTTTCTTATTAACTATTTGATATTTTTATAAATGTTTTAATAATATACAATTGTAATTGTGTTTTAAAATGAGTTTTATTACTGTTCAATGTCAACCTACTCCAATCTGTCAATGTATATCCGTCTGAATTTTCGACTTTATGTCGAAAACAATAGAGTATCCGGTTCCACCGTACCTGAATGCGGTTTTCAAGTAGTCCTAAATATCAAATGGGTAAAGGTAGTGTGGTAATGGTTTCTTAATAAAAGTAAATAAAACACGAAAATAAAATTGAAATTATATTTAAATTAAAAACAAAATACTGGCAAAAATATTTTCATATGACGTAATGCAACAATACTTTGAACTTTATGTACATTAACGTACGGTTGGAATGTCACTGTCACAATCAACTGCTACATACATATTTAATAATACATGTAAATGCTCAGTAACTATTTGAATGCAAGTACCAGGTACCGACATGTATAAATTCTGCTTATGTTTATATTGATTCATAAAAATAAAAATTGCACTTTTAGAAATATGATTTGAACTTCATATCTACTAAGCAACAGTTGATGCGCAAAATGATTTGCGCCAATGTTACAAATGTAGAGAGCAAACGAGAAGCACAATGAACAAAATGCTGCAAAAGCTTTTCTTTCAAGATGTTGTCAACGCCTATTTCGAGGGACGAATGTTGCTCAATTTCCTAACATTAATAGCAAAAAGTTGCCTAGTGGATACAAGACTATATATTCTATTACACTTTCTTTTATCATTACATGATTTTCATCGTTCTTATTAATACTAAATCTAAATTAAAACAGGAACAAAATATATAAACGATCTCACTGGAAACTATACACTAAAAGCATGCCAGCATAATTGAATAGACAATCATTCTGTACTTATTCTATAAACAAATAATAATTTTCTTAACAAAAACAATGCATGATTACAATCAATGAAACACTACTCCGGTTTAACCTTTTCGCCGCCCAGCTATACTAAACACGATGTGTCGCCGTACGCCAACGTATAAATGTATAATAAATGTATAGTACGAAAGTAGGGATGGCGGTAACATCATGTCGATAATGAAAAAAAAATATGTGTAAATTTAAATTGGTACTCAAATTTACAATTAAAAATACAAACTGTTAAGTTATAATGGTAATTTGTTTTATTTTATGAACATTTATACTAATAAAAATGGGTATCCGTTATCAGAGATGAAGATACATGCATAGAGTTGCTAGAGATAATAATAATAATTCGTAACATTAGCCACTTCACTATTCATTTCATAACGTAGTCTGTTTACTTCATATCAAGTCATTGGCGTTCAAAGCACGATACATTTCGTAAGGAATAGTTGTCTATGCTTTTCTTTCTTTCTATCGAGTTTGGTTTGCTTTTGGTTTTAGTTTACATTTAAAATCTAACGTCAGGTCACGATGTGCTTTCCCATTCAACATCAAAGTCGGAATCAGGTTCCACACCTTGTAACAGCCGCAACAACTCATCCGAATCATATTCGGTCATTTTGCACTGCACTGGGAAAAAAAATGTGCGTGCACGCGTCGCCCGGAACTATGACACAATGACCTTGACGCCTAAGCGCTTACGACGTCACAGGTTTACTTCTATTGAAGTTGACGGCGCTAGTGTCACTCGACATCTTGCCATTACGTAGAGATGGGTCTAGCAATATCGAAAACCCTCAGTACATAATAATTAATTTTAATGAAATGATTTGATAGGTAGATGTACATTAATTTTGAAACGCATTGTAATGCGTTATTTACTGACCGGAATTTCTTTTTATTCATAGAATTCAAAAAACTATTGGATGGAAAAGAAAACAAATATTATAGTAAATAAAGATTCTAATGAATGCTCCTTACGCGTCACATCACTGGCCTACTTGATATGAAGTCGTTGGCGTGCGGGATATAAAATTATTTGAAACCTTTTATGTTTTACCTTTTTAAAACAGAAAATAGTCTGTTTTGCATGAGAAAAAATAGTTCGTCGTGTCCATATTACAAAATTACAAAGAAACAAATGTTTGATGTATCGTAAATGTATTTTTTATAGTAGGTAGATACAATGAACTTCTATAGAAGTAGTGGCGTGGACGGCACGAAAATCCTGAACTTCTATAGAAGTTGTTGGCGGCGAAAAGGTATAACTCAAGGGATTTTGTACAATTACACCCGATTTCCGAAAGGCCGATTAATGTTAATGTTAAAATCAATTTAATCTCTTGTCAAGTCATCTGATTAGTTGACTGAATTATCAACAACCAATCAGATGACTTGACAAGAGATTTAACAGGAGATAAGTTAATTTTAGCGTTGACAAGCCTTTCAGAAACCGGGTGTTAGTGTTTTCTTTAAGACATGTTTTATCCAAATCTTCTTTCTTTCTTAACACTGTACTCATTGTTTTTACAAGAACTATCGTGAGACATACTAAATTAACAAAAAATCGAGGGTCAGGTAATCACGTGTATATACTGAAGTTCGAAACTAGTAGGGCTTTTCTCAATATAAAACACCTGAGTAACCCGCGATTTTTAGTTAACTGTACTCATTTGAAAAAGTCTGTTAGTTTGACAAATTTTCTCGCGTACATGAGAGTTTTATAATAAAATTCTTGAGTGTGTAAGTAATTCTGAGTGTAAACAGCGAAATAGGCCAAAAGCTTAAAGATACCTACACAATATCAAGCAACATAACTCAAGTCATCAATATCGGAATTTAAAAGAACACTTTCTCTGATATTGATATAATACCCTTGCATTATTTGACGTCTAAGTAGCATTTCAGTATTCATAAAAAGAGATAAAATAATAAATCAAACATACAATAAAAATTGGTTACAATAACTATGATTGAAACACCATATAGGTACGTACGGTCTAGGATCAACTGTGCAATTGCACTATACCAATGCGAAAATATGTAAAACTTCTTTACAATACAATTCCAAAATAAAAAAATATGTTGTTAATTACTTTAGAATCTAATCTATAAATTAATTAGTAAAGAAATCTTTGACCCTCGACTATAAAAAAATTTTGACACTATAGCATTGGTAAAGTGCAACTGCACTTTTGACCCTCACTGTACACTGGTTGTAATGGAAAATGGCTTTTGCAATAAAAATGCATTTTTACCTGCGCATCTATTTAAGACATTACACATTTATTTTACTTCTTAACGAACTAACGATGATTCCACACTACTGTTCATTTTTTTACATCATTAGTAAATATGTTTTAATATAATGGAACGCGAATCGGGTCGCGTGTTCAGTTCCCGCACGGAACAACTGACTTTGCACGGTTGGCGCGTTGGCTGGGCAACTGGATGCGGCGCAAAGTGTCGCGAGTTCGATTCCCGCACGGAACAACTCTTTGTGTGATCCAAAAAGTCGCCAATATATTCACAACACTACAAAGTCAAGAATACATTTTGGCATCAAACCTGAATCTTTTAAATTACCATCTCCAACTTTTTCGTACTGAATAATAATAACAGAACTGTTGACAACCTCGGCTCAACGAAAGGCGCGGTGGCTAGAGCGAGACAAAGCATCGGACGTCGCCGCCTGTGCCTACGCGCCATGTCAGCTGTTACAGATGTCGCAGAGTGAGAGCTCGCATTTATAGTCAATCAGTTGTTATACAATCCACTATAGCCTCTCTATACATATTTCAAGGAGTTGATCGACTAAAAACAAATATTTACTAATGTTTGTAAATATTTTCACACAGGAGTTTGGAACCAACATTAAAATTGGATAAAAATTCACTTGTATGTAGGCATTTCTTAGAAAACCTATAAGTTATACATAATTTACACATTGCTTATCCTAGTAATATACTTATATGTATACACATTATATAAAATTGCACTAATTATACAAAGAATGTGAAAATAGCTTTGCTAAAACTGCTGTAAAAAGTTTTTGTCACGATTAAGTATCCAAAGAGTGCGAGAAATTTTTATTTCGGAACGTTACATCTTGTAGCCCTCTGATTGGTTGACTCACTTGGAGTTGACCAATCAGAGCACAGAACGTCATAACCTCGCACTACGCACTCCGTTGTGAAATGAAACAGACATTTTGTCAATAACTTCACGTGAGTGAGCCGTTATTTACAAAAAATGCAAAAAAGAAATAAAAAATCCTGACTCATGCCGATACTGGTTAACCGACTGCAAAAAGGAGGTATTCGACCGTTTTCTTTTCAAAGTTAAATGTAATGTTTGTGCGTTGTAACATGTTTTTTCTCTCAAATTATACAACCGGGGTATTTATTAGTTATAGTAGATACTTAAGATATTAATAAAAATGGATATGTCGCAGGGATATGATAAAAACAGGGATTTGGCCAAATCCCTAAGGGATTTGATCAAATCACGGAGGATGTTAAAATAACAACAAGTTTTTATCATTTCCCTAAGCAAATCTGGTGATTTGACAAATCTCATTAAAGAAATCTAGTGATTTGAACAAATTCATAAATTGGTTCAGTGAAATGACAAAAATAACTTTTGTGATTTAAGGTTTATTTTGTAAGATTACCTACATAATTATAATAATCAGGTGTATCACAATGCAATATTAATCTCAAAAATCACCACTAGAACATTATTATTTGAAAAAAGAGAAACAAAAATTTAAAAAAATATATACGTAGGATAACTTAACGTATCATACGTTAAGTTAAGTTAAGGCGCGGTCACTGACAAGCAAGTGCGAGCGCGACGTTTTAATAGGTCGGCAAACGAGCAGACGGATTACCCGATGGTAAGCAATCAGCGCCACCCATGGACACCCGCAACGATGGAGTTACGAGTGCGTTGCCGAACTTTTAGGGCTTAGGGATTTGGAGATTTAGGGATTGGGGGAGGGGAAGGATTGGGCCTCCGGTAACCTCACTCACATGGCGAAACACAACGCCGTGGTTGTTTCACGCCGGTTTTTTGTGAGGCTGTGGTATCACTCCGGTCGAGCCGACCCATTCGTGCCGAAGCATGGCTCTCCCACACTTCGTAAACAAGAACTGGACATGTTTTATTATCATTTCACTAAATAAGTTTAGGGATTTGTCAAATCACCAGATTTGCTTAGGGAAATGATAAAATCGTGTTGTTATTTTAACATCTTCCGTGATTTGATCAAATCCCTTAGGGATTTAGCCAAATCCCTGTTTTTATCATATCCCTGCGACAGATATATAAAATGTCTTCCTAATTCAGAACAACTTTATGAAGTTGTTTAGAGCAAGCCAGCTTGTAAAATATCAGTGCAAGGCCTGGATTTTTAATAAAATATACTTATTTAAGAAAATGGGAGTATAGTAACAACATTTTTAAGAAAATTATTTAGGTAAGAATTCTGCTTTTTATATCGGAAGAACAATACAAGACATATTTCTGATTCATAGTTAGTAATAGATAAAAAAGTATTAACTTATAATTCCAAATTACTTACGTGTCTGAAAAAAAAGAAGGTTCCATTTATTGATAGGTACGCCTAAACTCATTCCCCCTTATTATAAAACAAGATGTATCTTTAGTCCAGGTTTAAACCATTGAGTCGGGTTTTGAATTTTGATTCTTATTGTCATCTACCTTCAATTCGAAATACAAAAACTGGCTCAATGGTTTAGTCCTAGACTAAAGTAAAACCTTGTTTTGTAATAAGGCCGAATAAATTTTAATACCTAAATTGGGAAGCTAGTTTTATTTTGCATATAGGTTTTTTCCTGGGGACGAGGCAAGAGCAGTAACGGGAAGTAAGAGTCACACACTCCCTCTCGATCCATCGGGCGGAAGTAGTCATTGGATTGTAACCCCATCAAAAATAATAATACTACTATTTTTTTTCTATTTTCGACAAATATTGCGGAAAAACATTACAATATTATAACTGTGTTAATAATATATTATGTAGACATATTTCCTGTGTGATAATAACTTTAGGATTTTTATAGATAAATGTTGGTGTATTATACCAACATTTATCTATAAAAATCCTAAAGTTATTATCACACAGGAAATATGTACAAATCAAATTGAGTAATAAATTTTGTGATAGAAGAAGATAAGAGGTGCATTTCCCGGGTTCGTGTGTATAGCGTAATAATGTCATCCCAGCTCGGGGTAGAAGAAACGGGCTTGATTTTAGTCAATAAGACTCTAACACACTTTCACGTTTCACCCGGACCAGCCAGAGTTGAGCGGTAAGCGCAATGAGTCACCGCGGCCTCGGCTTAGAGCAGGAGGAGGAACGGGGGTTTTTAGTTAGTCAGTATGTGTCTGACACTCTCTCGCCCCCCCCCCCCCCCTGGGAAAGCCATTGGATGATTTTCCGCGAGAAAACCCAGAGTCTATTTTGTTGTTTTGCCTTACGTTCCGTATCAAATAATTCTTTCTAACTATAAATGCGCGTTTGTTGTTGCAACCACGTGATATATATAACAGGGAGGGTTCTAGAGTGGGCCAAGAATTTTCAAATTAAAATCTACCAGAATCAAAATATAAGTTTAGGATGATAATTTTGCAGTCTTCAAGATCAAAGAAATCTTTTCAAAACTTGACTATACAAATTTCATGTACAACTTTTTACCTTATTTCTATGTAAGTAAAATTCATTTTTGTTGTTAGAACAGTTACAAGGTATGGCCTTGAAATATCACCTACGCCTCTGGGTTTCTCTTCATGAGGTCAAGGTCGGCTTCTACCATGTCCTTGACTAGCTGGTCGAAGGTCACACGTGGTGTCCAGCCTAACTTCTCTTTGGCTTTCGATGGGTCACCCAACAGCAGGTCCTGAAAAGAAAAACATTTTAGTTATTTATTAACAATTTGTACGCCGCTGCTGGGCTACTGTTGGTCGTAGGGTGATGTTTTATATCCTATAGCACTCAGGAACATTGTAGCTATCTACCTATCACTGAAAGAAATTTGGAAAACCGACCAGCGGTTCCAAGGATTACCTCCTACATACAAACTTTAAAAATTATCTCTTTATAATATTAGAATAGATTTGCGGAACTGCAGTGGACACCTGACCTTTGCATCCATTTTGGCAAAGCTTAAAACACTAATGAAGATGTTGTTAATATTTTAGTCGTATTGCGAGAAGAAACAGATTATAATCTAATTAGTCAACATTAAAACTTTTATTGGAATGACAAAAACATTTCTTACCTACTTACTAAAAATTTGTAAGAGAATGCAAGAAAATAAAAATATTGAAAAGTAAAAAAAAAATATTTTTATCTAAAACAATAACCAAATCTGGTGAAACTATTGGAAACCACCAAAGTTAATGGGAAAACTCCAGAAGCCGTACCCCATGCGCTGGATAGACCAGATGCTGATCTGGTCTTCTCATTTATAAAACACTAGCTTTTGCCCGCGACTTTGTTCACGTGGAAAAGTTACTACCTGCAGATTTTTGGAATAAAAACTATCCTATGTCCTTTCTCGAGTTCCAAACTATGTTTGTACCAAATTTCACAGAAATCGGCTCAGTAGTTTAGGCGTGAAGAAAAGACAGACAGACAGACAGACAGAAAGACAGACAGACAGAGTTACTTTCGCATTTATAATATTAGTTAGGATTAGGATTTTGCTACGCCATCCACATTGTTGAAGACAGGAAAAGTTAGCATAGGTACTTCCACGAGAAGTGGTTCGTCGAGGTCACACCCTCAACATTCTGAATAAACAATGCATAGGGGAAGAAAGCAAAATAACTAGAGCAAATAATAAGAATCTATAGTTGAGAACAACTATTAAAACACCCAAATAATAAGGTCGCAAATAACAAAGCAAGTAAACATTGCACTATTCAAGTTATAAGTACTTTGAAATATCACAATGTTTTATCAGTTATTAACACCGACAACTATTTTAGTATTAAATTATCAGCTTATACAAATCAAGTGGTTGTCATTTATCACCTATTACTAATAAAGTTAAGTTAGTTATTAATAAAGCAAGAAATTTAGTCTTGGTATGATTTTCGCATTATTAATATTATAAACTAGCGGCCCGCCCCCGCTTCGCATGGGTCTTACTATCCTAACAACAAAAGGGTCAGTTTTTCAATTCTCCCCTCTTTTTACTAATATTTTCTTTGATAAGAAACCTTCTCCCTACCATAATAAACACAACAAAAAAAGAATTAACTATATTGGTCCAGTTGTTGTTGAGTTATGCGCTTACCAACACATTTTGCGATCCATTTTTATATATATAGATATGAAATAAGGTAATTGACTTATGAAAAAAGAAACACTGTTTATTCATTAATTTTACTGGATAATATTGAAGCCGCTAACCGCTGCCGCTCCCAATAAAAACACCAAAATTCTAAAGTCCGAATACTGCCTTGATGGAATAAATCACGATGAAAGAAAACGGGCTACATCCAAAATTGCGGTACTCGTATTTAAGACAATTATGAAGAAAAAGACAAGAAGAAAAACGCAATACTTATTTTTTATTTCCCTCAATGAATTTAATGCAGGAGACAAAACGACTTTAGCCTTAAAGCCACAAAAACAGGTACAACTGAGAGGAGCCTAGTTAACAAACAATACGGAAAATTTACTATTGTAATGGGACCTATGTGTAAGCTGCTCAACTTGTTTCCTGTAAAACTCTACCCTCTACAAGATCAGTCATATTCAAAGTTTTAATTGCAAACTAAGCGTTTCAACTAGATGTTGCTAGTACATGTAATCAGTTCAAAACTTAGTGCCTTGTACAAGCATTGTGCTCATTTAATTGCGAAGTTAACAAGATCCATATAATAAACTACACCTGATGAGACATTTAAATTATCTAACATCGTGTTACGTTAAGAGAAGCCATATACAACTCACCACTTCCGTAGGCCTGAAGTATTTGGGGTTGATCTTGACTAGGAGTTGGTCAGTCTTTGCGTCGTGCCCAGTCTCCGCCTCGCCCGTGCCCTTCCACACGACCTCTCGTCCCACACACTTGAATGCTCGCTCCACGAACTCCCTGACGCTGTGAGCCTCGCCTGTAGCCACTACGAAGTCCTCAGGCTCTTCTTGTTGCAGCATCAGCCACATAGCCTGTGACACAGTGTGGTTTTCTTTAAGATTATCTTTTTTATGGTATAGGTCGGCAAACGAGCTGACGGATTACCCGATGGTAAGCAATCAGCGGCGCCCATGGACACTCTTAATACCTACTAAAAGTTTCTATAAGTGCGATGTCGGCTTTGTGGGTTATTAGGGATTTAGGTATAGGGACTTTGGGGATTGAGGATGGAAGGAGGGGGGAAGAATTGGGCCTTCTATAACCTCTCTCACACGGCGAAATACAACGTAAGAGTTGTTTTACGCCAGTTCTCTGTGAGGCCGTGGTATCACTTCGGTCGAGCCGTCCTATTTGTGCCGAAGAAGGCTCTGCCAAATTCAAAATCCCACATCTTGTGTCGAATGTATTTACAAACACATTACACTTCGGCCTTGTTATTAATAACATTCTAACGTCGACAACGGACACATTAATAAATTATGCACTCGTTGATACGAAAAGCATTTGAATCAGATTTTCTGTGCAACTTCTTCGAACGAATCAGAAAAAATCTAAGAATTTTATTTCATTCAATATAACCTGATCATTTTCACACAAACAAAAAAGACATTATTTGGAAGCCCATTCGTATCGAGCAGAAAAACAAAACATTATCATTAATAGTTTTTGAATAAATGTTACTTAATACATACATTTTCCCATTAGGAAAAAACATATAAAATGAAACGTCAAACGACATGATATTTGCCACATCTGTCACCTTATCTAAAACCATAAAAAAACTCTACAAACATCAAAACACCAACCTCAATATAATCCTTGGCGTGTCCCCAATCTCTCTTGCTGTCCAGGTTACCCAGCTCTAAATACTCCATCAGCCCCAGCGTGATCTTGGCGACACCGCGCGTGATCTTCCTAGTCACGAAGTTTTCACCTCGCCTCGGGCTCTCGTGGTTGAAGAGCAGTCCGTTGCACGCGAACATGCCGTACGCTTCTCTATAGTTCACCACTATCCAGTACCCGTAAAGCTTTGCACATGCTGTAAGAGATACAAGGTTTTTTTTTATTAAATGACGCTGATTTTTCACTTTTTTTACTTTTCTCGGCCTCGGGCGAGATGGTGTGTCTGACTCTAACTGCCAAAAAAGTATCCCGTTCCTTCTCCTGCTTTAGGCCGGGGCCTTGGTTACTTATAACGCTAGCCCCCGCATTGGAAAATTTTGCTTTTCAGGCTAACCCAGACATTTCATCTCAATACCGAGTAAGTAAGTAATCTAAAAAAAAACCGGCCAAGTACGAGTAGGACTCGCGCACCGAGGGTTCCGTACAAACCTGCTAGGTTTACAAAGTTCGTTCATTACGACAATCGAGTCATAACTATGGTATTTTTATTGCAAAATGAAATTCGTAATAAGTTTGTATTTATTAAAAAATAAATATATATTTTGTAATGTAACTAAAAATTTAAGGTTTTCGGAATTTTTCCTTTATGTGTGCTATAAAACGTTGCTTCGTGCCAAATTTCAAGATTCAGTTTCAAAATATGCCTAAATTTTAAACTGATGGCGTGTAGGTATGTACGCATTGTACGCCTAACGAAGACCGGAAGACTTGACAAACCAACTCAAATTCCATAGAAACTTGCATTAATTTTAAAAAACATACTAAAGTTTTGTTTATAAGTAGGCACATATTGCTAAATAATAAGAAGAATAGCTGATTTAAAATCAAATTTCAAGTTTTCCTGAAAGAATGTATATACATAGCTTGACAACGAGCGGTTCTAATTTCGAACATGGCGTTAATAGTTCCATTGTCATAGAACGCCAAGTTATTGTTTACACCAGGGACAATGTTCTACATTCCGTTTAACACAACGGATAGACCTGCATACTATTGATTCAATAAAGCTGAAGAGTACCTAGTGGTAAAACAATAAATGAAATACTTAGTAAAAAGGCGTAAATAGAATTTGAGGGGTGAATAGACAAGTACTAAGAAAATTCGCTAACATCTGTTCACCCTTTCTGTGTATCTCTATCCTTTAGGGTGAGGGAACTATCCTCCTCGCGCCCCAGCCGCCGCAGTAGGCGACATTCCGGCGTCGGGGATCGAGAGATGATCTCCGGCCACCGTAATAGCGGGTCATTGCACGGCGAGTATGGGTAGCTCGCCGCCCGACCAGAACCAGTCCCAAGCGTAAGGCGCGTAGCGTTCCGCGCGCGCCTCAAAGAGCCAATAGACCACCACAGACGAGGCCCTATAGGACTGATGTTCAGCCGGGGTTGCGGGGTAAGCGCAATTCGGCACCGCGACCTCAGCCCAGAGCAGGAGAAGGAACGGGTTGTTTTTAGTCAGTAAGAGTCTGACACTCCCTCCTGCCCGACCCTGGACGGGAGAAGTCATTTGATGTTTTTCCGCTCACAAAAATAAGCCTCACATAATAGTGAAACTTGGGTTGTGTTTCGCCGTGTGAATGAGGTTACCAGAGACCCAGTTCTACTCAACCTATACTAAATCCCCAAATAACTTAAAACCTACAATATCTTTTATTTATCGTTATTAATACTCATAGAGATTAACAATAACAAAAATCACATTGTAACACGGACGTAAAAACAATAATAAGATAGGATCACATAAAAAAGGCATTGATTATCTAACTGTAAGTACAATTGATTAGATCAATTTTATCGTTCACATTACTTAATATGCATAACAGAAAAAATGTGTGTATTTATACATGTAAATAAAATAGGAGTTTCTATTTGTAATATTGAAATAACCGTTTTTTACATTCCACAAAACTAACGCTTTTTTTCAACTTTTGTCTGTCTGTTTGTTCCAGCTTATCTTTGTTTTGGCTGGACCGATTTTGACTTGATTGGACTTTTGTTGGTAGGTAGCGGATGTCACACACTATAAGTCTGTGGGATGTCATAAGAAGTAACTTAGGCTCTTTTCATTAAGGCTACTTTCATTGAAGAAAAAAACAATTAATTTTATGTTGAAAGAATATTATGTACCCGCGATTTTACGCGGACGAAGTCCCGAAGCTAGTGATTAATCAATCACTTATTAATTAAGGTTTTAGTAGTTGAAGAGAAAGAGGTTTACTAAAAACCACTGTTACAAGGACGTGAAAACGATAATGCGATAGCATCAAATTAAAAAACATAGTATTGATTACCTAATTGTAAGTAAAATTGATTAGATCAATTTTATCGTTCACATTAATATTCGTAAACAGTAAAAATGTGTATCCTTAATAAATGTGTGAATATATCAAAGTTTAGATTCAACGATAATGCAAAAAGTTTGTATCTTTTTTACCTGGACACTTAAAAATACTATAGACAAACCTTATTTAGCAGTTGTAAGGCGGAAAACTGATAATAATTAGTACTATAATTAGCATTTTTGGCATTCTAGCATTAATTTACGATGACTCAAATATAAGTTCCAAAACAATCGATGTGGGATCTACTTTGATAAAAATAATACTTCAGGTTTTTTTATAGATTACGTAATTTAGTAATTTTACATAGTTATGTACTAAGACGTGACGTCACACGATACTTCGAATCAATATATAGATGAAAATATTTGATTCCATCAGGGAAGAAAAGAAAAAAGACATTTTGAATGTTTTGAATTAATAAAAAAAAAACAGACATTAAAATAAATAAAAAAAAGGTCATCAAATTTCCTGTATTTGGAAATCGGTTTTAAAACAGGCAATTTCAGAATTGAAGGACTCAATAATAATTTAGTATTTAGTCTTGAACCTAGCGACGATTCTAATTAATATACAAAAATGAACATATAAGTTAAGTGTGGGAGAGCCATGCTTCGGCACGAATGGGTCGGCTCGACCGGAGTGATACCACGGCCTCACAGAAGACCGGCGTGAAACAACCACAGCATTGTGTTTCGCCGTGTGAGTGAGGTTACCGGAGCCCCAATCCTTCCCCGCTCCCAATCCCTCCTTAATCCCTAAATCTCCAAATCCCTAATCCCTAAAAGGTCGGCAACGCACTCGTAACTCCTCCGTTGCGGGTGTCCATGGGCGGCGCTGATTGCTTACCATCAGGTAATCCGTCTGCTCGTTTGCCGACCAATTATATAAAAAATATAACTTACCATACGGTGATCTGGGATAGAACGGAGTCTTTTCATTTTGAGGTACTTCAATGACTTTGCCGTAGAGTTCTGAGGTAGATGCCTGGTATATCCTGGTGTCCTTGGCTAGGCCAGCCGCCCTCACTGCCTCCAACAGCCGGAGGGTTCCGAGGGCATCCACCTGTGCCGTGTACTCACTGAGCTCGAAGGACACTTTGACATGGGACTGAGCTCCGAGATTGTAAATCTCTCTTGGACGTATCTGTAAAAGAAATTATATTGTAATTTTATTGAATAATTGGCAACACTGATTGATTTGATGGTGATTTCCCAAATACTAGTTTTTTATAGCATTCAAACACAGTTATCGCCTGATGTTAAACGTTTATAGGCACTCATGGAAAATTAGGTGTGTTTTTTACCTTTTTAAAATAGCCTTGGCGTTTTCTTAGTAAATATGCAGCTCATATCGCTTTGGATAAACTATTCTATTCATTCCAAAATTTGATTGTGTGAGGGAGATATAAGTTTACAAAAGGCCAGAGAAAAGAATTTGGCATTATTGATGTTTATCTTGGTATCCTTTTGAAGGGCGAAAATTAACCAAATGACTTCACGCGCCATCGGGCGAGAAGGAATGTCAGACTAGCACTGAAACAATCCTGTTTCTCCTCCTAAATTATTAGGCTTGCACATGCAACCCCGGCTGGACATTAGGCCCTAGTGGGCCCCATTTGTGGTGATCGGAGGGCAGTTTTAGACGCGTGCGAAACTCGATAAACCGTGCGCTTGGTAACCTGCGATTTTTATCTGAGAATTTCAGTAAAGGAAAACTAAATATTTTTCCAATGCGTTCGAGCCGGAGATCAGACAGTATAAAGTTTGTTACTCGATGAGTTCTTCTTTATCTTTCGGCTTGATGTAATTACGGTTATGAAGTTAATGGAACAAGGTTTCATCGCTGCTGTCTATGTGTAGTGCACTTAACGATTACGGAGTAATCTTTACTGCACATTATAAACTAGGCTCACAAAAATACTTTAAGGTATAGTTAATACCTTGTTTCTTTCTATGGAAATGAAGGTGGCTATTCTGGTTTAAGTATGGAAGACCCATGCTTCAGCACGAATGAGCCGGATCAATAGTGATACCACGGCCTTAAAGGAAACCGGCGTGAAACTACACGTTGTGTGAGTCAGTTTACCAGAGGCCACTAACAACTAACGGAAGGTAACGCACTCTAACTCCTCTGTCCGTCTTCTGTCTTGTCTGTCTAGCTCTTGGATTGCTAAGCATCAGGTAATTATCATACCTACACAATGACGACTAACTATGCAATAAGAATAAAATTTATTTCATTAAAAACTTAAAAACCCATTTATGTCTGAAGAGTAATTATACAAATGTTTCGTAGTAAAACATAACGTCATGCCTGTCCATGGGTAATAGGAAAAGCAGACGATAATAAATGTAAAACCACTAATTAAAAAAATTAAAACATCCTGTATTACCGGTAAAATAACGCGATGCTAGGTGATAGCACAGCAAACATCCAAACAACAGCTATTTAGATGAACGAACGTAACATCTCTTGTTTACGATAAAAACTATTAAACTGCCTAAGGTCTTTACTAGCTAGGCAGACAATTCTGTCTATCGTCATGCCCTCTATTGGTGCGTACAGGCGTTATGTAACAATATACATACATAGGTATATCACAGCCACCACCATGCAATAAAACCTATTGTATTTTGACCTTGTTTAAACTTATTCTGAAACATTTTGCGCTGTAGAATGAATATCAATTGAAATAGGGTTGAAATTCACTAGGAATTATTGAAATATTAATTACTAGAGGCCCGAATTTGCACGGGTGCAATGCTCAAAGTTTCTCCATGATTTATTTACACAACTGGATGCTTTTATATAAAAAAAACCTTCATCTTCAATAACTATATCTATTAAAAAAACCGTCAAAATCGGTTGCGTAGTTTTAAAGATTTAAGCATACATACATAGGGATATAGGGACAAAGAGAGCGACTTTGTTTTATACTATGTATCTAGTGAAGTAAGTCGTAGTAGTCTAGTTAAGTATTAAAAACTTTTTATAAGAACTTCAGAAGGTACCTAAATTATTGTGCTGCAATTTCCAAATGGAGCTAGAAAAAGAATAATAGGCGGTTGACAGGCAGATATATATAGTTGCATAACTTACTTTCGTAATAATACTGATGAGACAAGTTGTGTCTGTAAGGTCCCCGTAGTGTAAGTGCATTCGGCCGCCGGTGTGGCACGCTGGCTTGCCGTAAAGGTGCTGTATCCGGCCCGTGTTGAACGACGACGACCGTCGGAGTATGCCGTGCACCTCATACCCCTTCTCAATTAAAAACTCCGCTAGATAAGAACCATCCTGAAATTAAAAAAGAAACATTTTTTTAACAGATGGGATACTGGGATTAAAGACTTTAGGGACATTTTTGTGGAAGGAAAATAAATTTATTTATGGGCATGCAAACTAAACGTATTTTCAAAATTGGTTAAAGATATCTGCTTTGAAATTTAGTTGTTTAATTCCACTTCCAGATAGTATAAAAAAATAAATTAGTTGGAACTGAAATGCGTTTCCCATAAATACCTAATTACGCGCTTGATAGGAATTGCATTTAGTACACCGAAAATTTTTTTTTGTATGGAATAGGTGGCAAACAATCTGACGGAATGTTAAAAGTCAAAGTTCGTACCGAAAGATCATTCCAAGGTTTTGCTGTGCGAGACAGAAAGTATCGCGAAAATGACACAATTAAACTGCCCACCGTCCATAATTATAATGGGGATGCAAATGTTTTCGTGTGGGTCTAATTGTGTGGAATAATTCCACAGAGCACTTTCCGTCTTTAAAAGATGCGCAAGATTTTATGATGAAGAAGAACCATTAATTAAAAATTCGTTTCTTTTAGTGACGTGCACGGTTGGTGCGGTGGCTGTCGCGCAACTTGTCGCGACTTCGATTCCCGCACGGAACAACACTTAGTGTGATCCACAAGTTGTTGTTCAAGGTCTGGATGTCATGTGTATATGAAATTGTATGTGTGTAAACGCACCCGCGACACATGAGAAAATCCATAGTGAGCAATTTAAAAATAATATTTAAGCAGAATGTATATGTTCAGAGAATAGCACAGATGGTATTGTGTTTCATATAACACATGTCACGTCGTTAAAAGTAACTTAACACTTTAGTTCAAACCTAGCGCAGTGGTTGCGGGGTAAGCGCAATGTGGCACCACGGCATCGGCATAGGGCAAGAGAAGGAACGGGGGGATTTTTAGTCAGTAACAGTCTGACACTCCCTCCTGCCTGACCCTGGGCGGGAGAAGTCATTTGATGATTTTTCCCCTCACAAAAAAAAAACCCTAGCGCAGTGTTTGTAAACTATGTACTCGTGTCACATGAATGTATGCATGTTTATTGCAAAATGCACTCTATAAGTTAAATGTTTGGTAGCCTACTTTAACTAGTCAAATTCATTACTGTTATCGAAATTTCAAAAAGGACACTTTTCTGTTAATTGTCTATGAAATCGCAAAATATGAGGTTATAGCATTTTCATGTCTATTTACAACCTTATTTATATAAAAACTAGCTTTCGCCCGCGTTGTATACTGATAAAAAATAGCCTATGTCCTATTCCAGAGTGTATCCTATGCCTGTGCCAATTTCCATGTAGATCCGTCCAGCGGTTTCGGTGTGATTGAGTAACAAACATCCAAAAATCGTAACTGATGATTATATTTAAATAAATTATTGTACTGAAAAGTCAAAATAATTTGTTTTTGACCTAGGAAACTAAACAATTATACGCCATGTTTGATATACGCTGTGTAATGTAAATGCACATGTTTATATAATATTTAAGACTGGAATTTGAATGGACGTTATCAAAAACCGATCTCGTTTAAACAGAAGGAAAAGTAGTTAACTAAAATACTGGAAAAGTCATATAAGAATAAAAAATATTTTCCGGTACTTAAACGGTAAATTGATTTGAAATACACTATGATGTCATGTCTATGTTCGGGAAAATACCTAATCTATATTATACACATTATATACTGTCGTGTGTGTATTATATATACTGTCGTTATATATAAATTGACGTAGCAAGCCTCCACTGTAAGGTATTATATTGGCAAAGTACATTACTCATGTTGACCTACACTTACCGCGGGTCTCAAATATATTTTCAAGGAAAGAAAGAAAAACAAAATTACAATTAAACCATATACAGGTACTTTTGAAACATTAAATAAAGAAATATAATAAGTATTCCGTCAGTGAAGGTAGACGCTTGTTCGTAGATAAGAACGAGTTGGAAACTCTAACGTTATTCTTTTAAACTGCAGTAGGTAGTTCGTCAGTAATGGGGAATCGTCAGGATGGAATAATTTTTTTTCAGCGAGAATGTCTTCCAAATCTTCTTGTGACTGCTCCCGCCCTGACTGAGGTTGACAGGGAGTATCAGGCTATTACTAACTACACAAGGACTGATGCCCATCGAAGATGCAAGAGCACCCCACACGAAACATCTGAAGAAACCAGGAAGAAACAGGGCGGATTTAAGTCAGTTGGAGTTTGACACTACCTCTCGCTTCATCCACGACAATAGAACACATTGAATGATCATTAGAGTGACATAAAAATCCGTGATATAATCTGTGCTTATCGCTTTACGGAAGAGGCGTAATGTCAAAGTGTTATGTTTTATGGAATGTGCTTAAATTGTAACGGAAATACTTTGAAATATGACATAGGAAAATTAGATAACACTTGTTATCGAAAAAAAGGTCCGCATATGGGGACCATGCCATCAGCCATGTAGGAGAACTTAGTAATCTACATATAAAAAAATATGTATGACGGTTTGTTATACTTGTGCAAAGTTTAAGTATCTATACGAATATTATAAAGAGGTATTTGTAAGTTTGTATGTAGGGGGTAATCTTTGGAACCGCTGGCCAGATTGCCAATATTCTTTCACTGATAGGCAATTACAATGTTCCTGATTGCTATAGGCTATAAAACATCACGCTACGATCAAATGGAGCAGCCGAGCGGTGAAACCGAGCGAGAGTAGATAGTATAGTATATAGTTAAAACAACACGGAATCACTCTTGAGGGGGAACGAGTATAAGGACAAACATTAGTGGAAAGATTTAGTTCTACAACTACTTAAGATGAAAGATGAAATGAATGGGGATGGAGAGAGGTGAAGCATTGGACACACGGCGAAATACTAAGCTGTGGGACCACAGATGAGCCAAAAATGGGTGATGTTTAGTCGGGGTGGCGGGGCAAGCGTGATAAGGTACCACGGCGTCGGCCTGGAGCAGCAGGAGTGCAGTGGTTTTTAGTCAGTAAGATTCTGACACCCCTTTTGCCCCACCCTGAGCATGAGAAGTCATAATGATGATTTCTCCACCGCAAAAAAGTCTCTTCGGTTTCGGACTATGATCGTACCGGCCCCTTTAAAACTGCCGCCGACACACTCCCACATTTAAACTTTGCTTACACAAACCAGTCTTTAGCAATTATTTCGAAAAAAAAACTACTTAAGAATTATTTCACTCTGTTTTTTTTGTTTGTTGAAACTGTGTGTTTTATGCTAATTAATATTTGGCTTTTTTCCAATCAGACCTTTTCATATTGTTCGTTTTTTTTTTATCTGATTGGAGAAAGAAAACATCGAGGAGTAAATACACGACGACTGCCCAAAAAAGGTGTGTTCTATTTTCATTTCCTTATATACCTTTTTATCTACTTCTTCAAGACCTATTTAAATGACAAACTGTGTCAGATGTTAGATCTGAAGTGATAAAAAAGCAATAAGGATGTTGATACTATAAATTGTATAATTCTATTAATCATTCATCAGATAACACAGATTGTAGGTAGTATGTAAGTATTATCGTCATTAGATCAGATAGTGGCTGTAGGTATAAATTAGAGACAATAGAAAATACACTGCCTTGGGTCATGGGTTGATCTTTCTTAAATAATTCCTGTACACAAAGAGGTCAAGCAATAAGGTGGCATGGAAAATTAAATATTTCTTTTTTTTTCTATTTTTCAGGTTGGTATTGTATAGCATGATCATGAAATATCCTCTTTTTACATAATATTATTTGTTGCTGTTATTTCAATATAAAAGGTAACAAAATAATTATGCTTGTTCAAACTATCAACTTAAGTTTGTAACTAAAGGAAGGGTCGAGCCTGCATGCCTGGGTCACAGCATTAGGCTGAGCACTGGCTTTCTGTAGTGTTTTTTAGAGAAAATGATCAGATTTCTTATCTGCTCTGGGGCAAAAAAGAGTTTCTGTATGAGAGAAAATCTGGAAGTCACTTTTACTCATTAAAAATCACCCTGTTCCATCTCCTAGTCCGGGCCAGGGCTGCTCTACATTATACTGGTCTTTTGTACTGTAGAATACTAATGTTTTATTGTTTTCTGTTATTTGTAGGTTTCTTGTCTTATAAATGTACAGCAAAAGGAAAGATTTTTTCTTTTTCTTAAGTTATTGGGGGTTTATGCTATGATGGGTTTCAAACCTGGCAAGTACCAGTTTTCCCAGCTTTAATACTAAATTATATTATTCAAACATATACTGAATTAAAATCAAGAGGAAACCTTAAGTTATAATTTGAAATATAATTTTGAAATTGCTAAACCTGGATCTTGTTATGATGGTACCTTCTCTGTGAAGGTAAAGGTCTTTGCTATGTAGAATGAATACATTTTATTTTTCAATAAATTAAATTTGTACATCTGTTTCGAAGTACATTTATGTTTACTTTAAATGAAAAGAATATCAATATAGATAAATACCTAATAACTTTCAGAATTATTTACTTATGTAAATTATCTTGTCTTTTTTTAAAGAATAATTGTAAAATTGGTGTGGAGTAACATTAAACGAGCTAAAGTATATAAATAAAAGCATAAACTCTTGTAAATAGTTGAAAAAATCGAAATAACATTAAAACTACATAGGTATGAAACCAAATTAACCATAAAATTACTAGCACAAGTGAGTAACGTGGCGTACTGCACTCACCTACGAAAAAAGAAATGCAAACAAAGTAAACATTTACATACCTGGCCGGTAATACCGGTAATCAACGCCACTTTTCTATTATCATTCACTAAGCTTGATCCTTCGCCTGACATATCTTTCAATATTTTTCAATTATTTAAGTAAGCTATATGTACTTTTACAGGACACGTCCGTCCTCCACGAGCCGGTAAGCAACGCTGTCTGTGGAAAAATGATAAGCTTATCATAACAAGAACTAGTTACAATATAAATTAGCATTCGTTTACAGTGTCGGCTTAAGTACTTATTGTTTCTGCCTGACGTACGAAATATTACGCAAATATAGAGTAAGAAAGTGATGGTTGTAGCTTTCTTTATATAAAGAATGAGTATAAAAATATAGTTAAATTGCAAAACAAAAATTCTAATAGGTAAATCAATTACAATTTTCTACCTAATAAATAAATTTGACAATTGACATTGACGTTTGAAAATTTGAAGTTTATTCAATGACATATATGTTTTTTAATAGAGGCAACTGAGTTTCACGTTTTGTAATTTTATATTTTATTGTATATTCACAATAAAATGGAGACAATAGTTCTGGAGCTTACCTACTCATTGTTCGCAAATGTTTTACCAAAACACATTCATGTTTTTTTTTCCCAAAAAGCAATGCTTTTTTATAATTTAGGATGTGTGTAAACGATATAAAAACGTTATTCAGATCTTACCAATTTATGATTTATGAGACGAATAAAGGGAGAAAACTATACTCCTTTATTCTTCTGTGAAACTACCTATAGCTTTTTAGACGAATCATTCTACCATTCCCTATAAAACATCCTCCTCTCCTCCTCATAGAAAAATATGAAAACTGACATTACTGACAATAATGACAGATGATAAATGAAATGATTGAATGATTTATTTATGGCTTTTGCATTCAGCATTGACATAGGAAAAATAAGGACTTGAAATACCTACGAAACAAAGGTGCATACCTACAATCCAAAATTTCGCATAAGATGGCTGCCGTTGCTAGGGTTGTGCCGACTAAGTATTTAACGAGTATCGATACAATTTGAGTATAAGTTCTACGTAGGTATAGCTTTAGGGATTAGCCAGCTGATTAACGGTATTTTTTTATGGGAAATCATCTAATGTCATCTCCGGCACTTTTCGTGACAGACAGTTACTGACTAAAATCAACTCCTGTTCCTACTTTGCCGTCGGCCTAGCTAGAGCCCGGAACCCGGGGTTACCTAGGTCTCTTGATTGGCTAATGATTTTCTCAAGTCGAATTTGTATCCATATAAATCTACGGAAAGCGTCTTTAAAAAAAAAATAAAAAACATACAATCGAATTGAGAAACTCCTCCTTTTTTTGAAGTCAGTTAAAAAATAGGACTGTGTTTATGAACAGCGTTTAATGGAATGGTAAAATAGAAAAAGATAGTTTTTGTTAAATGTTTATCCGCCGAAATATGGGGCCCCTTAAATGCGTATGTGCAACACCTGCCGGGATTTGTGATGTGCTCGCGCACAATTTCGGCTCGTCTGATTAAGCGATGATATCTTCGAAACTACATTAGCAAAAATTTTACAAAATAAAAAAACCGCCTTCAAAAAAAGTCAAGCAATAAAAGTTCCTACACTAAAAAGTAAAAAATAACAATTTGAATTACTGTAAAAAAACTTAATTTATAGGTAAACTTATTTGACATTAATATTTTGCAAATATTCAAAATTTATTACTTATTTTTGGAGTCGGTGCCAGCATTTTGATGTTGAAACTTAATGTTAGTTAGGTTTTTAATATCCGGTGCCATTTTTCGTACATAATGCTTAAACATTTTCAATGTACTTAAAATGTTTTTGTAAGTACATATTTTTTATTTAAAAAAATGTGCAAATCGGACATTTTTTGTAGAGAAGTCTAATCTGTATTTATGTCTTAATTAATATACCTATATTTGAGTATGCAAATAGGTATTAAGTAGTTTTATAATTAAGTAAGAGGTAGTTTTTCAAGGGATTGTTGCCCATTTGTATTTCCTTGCATGGGCTGGCACCGACTCCAAAAATAAGTAATAAATTTTGAATATTTGCAAAATATTAATGTCAAATAAGTTTACCTATAAATTAAGTTTTTTTACAGTAATTCAAATTGTTATTTTTTACTTTTTAGTGTAGGAACTTTTATTGCTTGACTTTTTTTGAAGGCGGTTTTTTTATTTTGTAAAATTTTTTTTTATTTGTAGCCGTTTAGTGTTTTTTTTTTTTTTATTATAATGTGTTATGGCAAAGAAGTCAATATCGTTCCTACATTTCTTTTGAAAAAGTTACCAATGTCATACTTATACGTAGAAATACATATCATAGTACATTGTTACTGTGTAATCGTTTTGATCTCGAGGAGAGATGATATGATGCATGAGATACTTATGACTTATAGTTAAAATAAAATAATAATCTTATCATAAATTCATATTAGTTCTCGCCAAATAACAAAAAACTAGATATTTTCATCAACAGACAGATAAAGTTCAAAGATACCAAATGCAATCTAATTTAGTATCTATGATTAAATACATTCGTACATAGAAAAAAGACCGATGCAATTATTGTTTTGTATCAATTGTAACCCATTAAATGAAGAATACTATTTTGTTATTACTAAGAACATTCATATATAGACAAGTTGGTAAAAATATAAAAGACCATCGCTATTGTAAATATACATTTATGACTCATTCAATGTATGAACCTTTTTTAAGTAAGTATTATCTACATATGTGCACACAAAAGAAACACAATTATTGTTTTGTACGACGCAATTATTGTTTTGTAACCCATTTAAAACGACTGTTTTGTTAAAAATGCCAATTAATTCTCTTAGCCTATTACCAGGAAAACGATAAGAACACAATGACGCATTTCACCACTAATGTGTAAACGCAGTCCACGTGGACTAATGCAAAATAGCCAATACTAGGCCAAACTCCGCCCCCAAAGGTGTGCGGTCCCGCTCTAGAACCTTTCGGCCCCATCGGCCATCTGTTCTACGAGCAATGTGCCGTGCCCACTGTCACTTAAGTTTGGCATTTCTTCGGGCTATGTCGGTGACGCTGGTTCTTCTGCGGATTTCTTCATTTCTGATTCGAACATGCACGGAAACTATGAGCATAGCCCTTTCCATTGCTCTTGACAGCTCTAATAAGCTTACACAATACTAGGCCCCATGCCAACCTTCCAGCTTCATCATCACATCAGTTCAATAGTACCTTACAGCCAAAGTGCATCTTATAACAATTCTAACAAGCCCAAACACGGCTAGGATATATTAATTAGGTACGCAGTTCCAGTGCCTACCTTCCAGCTCCATAATCATCATTAAATCAGTTCGATGATAACATTTCCAACATAATTATTTAAGATCATTGGTTTACAGTGCATTTTCATAGTTGCTGAACTACCTTGATTGTGATATCTATGCGAGTGTCAAGTTTCATCATCCATTTCTGATCTTCTTCACCAGTTCCACCTCATCAAACATTACTTTTTGACTGTAAATGCTTGAGTGCTCTATGAAAATATTAAAATTACTATATAGTTGCCTATAATATTTGAGGAGTTCCCTCGATTTCTCATGGATCCCATCATCAAAACTTGATTTTGAAAAGAATGGGACCAATCTGGAAGCATATCCTTTCAATCATAAAAAAAATTTTGCAAATCCGTCCATAAACGACGGAGTTCTGAGGTAACAAACATAAAAAAAAAAAATAAAAAAAAAAAAAAAAAAAAAAAATACAATCGAATTGAGAACCTCCTCCTTTTTTTGAAGTCGGTTAATAAAATAGATAAGTAGTGAAGTCAATCTTACTGTATGTATCTCACTTTTTATTATTAAGCTTAGTGGTCGCACTGGGATCGCCGCCAACGCTGCTCTGTCAATCGGGCCCGGATAATTATAAAACATGACAATTTGAACTTCTACTTATGTAACTAAAACCAATACCAAAATACTGACGTCTTACTTTAGCCTTACACAAAATAGATTATTTAGGATAATATATTATGTTGAATTTTAAATGGGAGATTATATCGATACTTTTGTGGAATGGTACGTAACTATGCCATATTGACATATTATTGTAAACAACAATTTTTTACTTAAACTGTCTCACAGACAGAAATAGAAGTAAATATATATACTTTGGCAATAGATTCAAGTATCCGTAACATTTTTTCTATCTATGTGGATTATTTTAAGTAATATTTGATGAAAACTGTTTACTAACCTATGCAAAGACAATTTAGGTTGATTTTCGTTCTTTTTTGCACCACACTGCACAATACAACACACAGGCATATTGTATTTTTGTTTCACTATATATCTTTGCAGTTTAAAACAATGGTTCTTTGTAATTTACTGGAAAACCGCAATAATTTAAAACTTAAACAACCGTTTGACAGCACAACTACCATGAAACTCAGGTACTCTGAGCGCTTAAGATGGCGGACATGGCACTTACCTACAACTTTGCTAATGTCAAAATGATTTGTTGCCATAATAAGCAACAACTTAAATATTGTTGTCCCTTTTGTCTAATACAATTATTGCCTAAGAAAGAGTGAGAAAAAACTATATTTCACAGTTTGTTTCATATTTAACCCATATTTGTATAAGCGGGTATACATCTATAATAACAGGGCGCCTCTATATATTTTCTATCTCAATGGCATTCAGTAATTCGTTCAAAAATGTCAAAAACTTGCTAAAACTTGTTTACCCAGTGCCGAACGTATTAGAGTTATTACATTACGTTATCATATTTAATATAGAATTTATATTATCTGTCATACATGGTATATATTAGCATAGAGTACATACATTTTAAGAGTGAACTAGTGACATACTCATCCAACTTTATACAAGGTTATTAGTTTTGTTAAGAATTATTAGTTTTATTTGTATCTTGTATGTTATAGTACGAAAACGTGTGCAAAGTTCCCTACAAGCATTTATTGCGAATACGTTCTGCAGCCCGTAAAGTAAATAACAATTGCGTTGTACTGATGTACATAACACAACGGTAAGATAACATTTCGTCATGCCTGATATCAAGATTACTCCTCTTGGAGCCGGCCAGGATGTCGGCCGCAGTTGCATCTTACTGTCCATGGGAGGCAAAAACATCATGCTGGACTGTGGCATGCACATGGGTTACAACGACGAGAGGCGCTTCCCAGACTTCTCGTATATTGTGCCTGAAGGTCCTATCACTAGCCAAATTGACTGTGTCATCATCTCACACTTCCACCTCGACCACTGCGGCGCTCTACCTTATATGTCTGAAATGGTTGGCTACACAGGTCCTATTTATATGACACATCCCACCAAAGCTATTGCTCCTATACTACTTGAGGACATGAGGAAAGTGGCTGTCGAGAGAAAGGGAGAGTCAAACTTTTTTACATCCCAAATGATCAAGGATTGCATAAAGAAAGTAACTGCTGTAACTTTACACCAGTCTGTGATGGTAGACAATGAACTAGAGATTAAAGCTTACTATGCTGGCCATGTGCTTGGAGCTGCTATGTTTTGGATTCGTGTTGGATCCCAATCAGTAGTCTACACCGGTGACTACAATATGACCCCTGACAGGCATCTAGGAGCTGCCTGGATAGATAAATGTAGGCCAGACCTACTCATTACAGAATCAACTTATGCCACTACTATCAGAGATTCTAAGCGCTGCAGAGAAAGAGACTTCCTGAAGAAAGTACATGAATGTGTGGAAAAAGGTGGAAAAGTTCTTATTCCAGTGTTTGCTCTAGGGAGAGCTCAAGAGCTCTGTATTCTGTTAGAAACATACTGGGAAAGAATGAATTTAAAATATCCAGTATATTTTGCACTTGGTTTAACAGAGAAAGCAAACAACTATTACAAGATGTTTATAACTTGGACAAATCAGAAAATCAGGAAGACATTTGTTCAAAGAAACATGTTTGATTTTAAGCACATCAAACCTTTTGATAAGTCCTACATTGATAATCCTGGAGCCATGGTTGTATTTGCTACCCCTGGAATGTTGCATGCTGGTTTGTCCTTAAATATATTCAAAAAGTGGGCACCTTATGAACAAAACATGGTAATAATGCCAGGCTTTTGTGTACAAGGCACAGTTGGTCACAAGATTCTTAATGGTGCTAAAAAGGTTGAATTTGAGAACCGCCAAGTGGTGGAAGTGAAAATGGCTGTGGAATACATGTCATTCTCAGCTCATGCAGATGCCAAAGGAATCATGCAGCTGATACAGTACTGTGAGCCAAAGAATGTTTTGTTGGTTCATGGTGAAGCTCAGAAAATGGAGTTTTTGAAAGATAAAATCGAGAAAGAGTTTAAGATTAATTGTTATATGCCTGCCAATGGTGAGACATGTACTATAAATACACCAACTAAGATTCCAATAGATGTTTCTTTAAGATTGTTAAAGGCAGAGGCTGTACGCTACAATGCACAACCTCCAGACCCTAAGAGACGGCGTGTAGTTAATGGAATATTGTGTGTACGGGATAACAGACTATCTCTTCTTGATATTGATGAGATGTGTGATGAGATTGGTATCAATAGACATATAATTAGATTCACAAGTACAGTCCGCTTTGAAGATCCTGGTCCAGCTGTTAAAACTGCAGAGAAATTGAAAACTTTGCTATCAGAGAAGTTGGAGGGATGGACTATTACAATTTCAGAGGCCAACATATCTGTTGAATCAGTACTTATCAAAGTAGAAGGTGAAGAGGACAGTACCAAAAATATATATGTTTCCTGGACCAACCAGGACGAGGATCTAGGTAGTTACATACTAGGTTTACTTCAATCAATGGTCCAATAAAAATATAATTGTAGATTCATTATTGTGTAATTTTGTAATTGTAATAAAATAGTTATTATTTTAACTGTCTTGTTTTTTTTTGTGGGACATAGACTTTAGGCACACAGGTACATACACATTTGCCACATATTTTTTCCTGTTACCCGCACTGTTATCTTAGTAAAAGGTGGAATTATATTACCGTGTCGCACGACACACTAGTGTTGCTCTAACCATAGAATATATGAACCTGATAGGTTCGTCACGCCACGGTGATGTATTTCCCTTTACACTTTCCCAGTACCAGCCTTGGAAGTCTCGATAGTCTTGATGTTATCAAATCTAACGGGAAAGTGGCTAGTTGGACTGGCCTGTAAAATTTCAACGATTTATTTTTGTCATTCATATCAATATCGAGACTACCTGAGCTTTTTTTTGTGAGGGGAATATCATCAAATCACTTCTCCCGCAAAGGGTGGGGCGGGAGGGAGTGCCAGACTGTTACTGACTAAAACACCCCCGTTCCTTCTCCAGCTCTATGCCAATGCCGTGGTGCCTTATTGCGCTTACCCCGCAACCCTGGCTGACCATCAGCCCTATGGGGCCCCGTCTGTGGTGGTCTATTGACTGTTTGATTTTAACTTTTGTTGTTTCCCCTTGAAAGTGAATTGGGCGTCTATAACGCCTAACTCAGAATAGAAATAACTATAAATATAGTTCTTCTATGCTCTATGGAGAACTAATTACTCGGTTTTTATAATAACTATCGTGAGACATACTAAATTAACTAAAAATCGCGGGTTACTAACGTGTAAATATTGAGAAAAGCTCTACTAGTTTCGAACCTCCGAATGCCTAATTGAAACCGCGATTTTTAGTTAATTAATTACTCTTTAACTATCATCTTAAGGTACCTAATAGGATCATAGAGGAATTAAATTCTATGGTCGATTCTGGAAATATAGCATTAATAATATAAAAAAAGGTATACTTACGGAATATGTACCTAAAGTAAAAATACATCAGGTGTTGCTGTGAAAACTAACTAACGTACCTATTTGTTATGCTATATACCTATAAACTATGTATGATGTATGTATAAGTACCTAACTACGAAAAAAGAAAAAAAAAAATTTTTTTTAGGTAAGTTAGTAGGTATGTAAGTGTAACTTTGATTTCGGTTAATCCAGAGTGATCATCATTTTGTAAAGATTTATTTAAACACATTAAAATATAGGTACTTATTTACACATTCAGGTACCCGTAATATTTGCTATGAACCATGTAGATTTAATAGATTAGGTAATCGTGAACTGAAACAGTCAATAAGAAATAAGAAGGTTTTCGCTTTTAATATGAATGGATTTATGCGGCTCGACACAAAAATAGATTTTGGAGATCCGCCCTAAGTACCTAACCCTACTTAGCTTCTTTACAGGGCCGGACCGATAGTCCGATAGATAAACAACATTTAAGTACCTAAATGTCATATAAAATTAATTGCTAAAATAGGACCATTGGTCCCATCAAGTACAACCTCTATCTAAATAAATTGATTTTATCTTATATCTGTTATCTAAAATGAAATTATTAGTTACTAAAAAGGTTTTATCCCTAGAAGTTACCTAATTACTAAGTTCACCTTAACAGAACGGTCTATTCAGGTACCTACTCTATTTAAAAATAGGTACTTACCTATCTAACATAATATGGTAAATTTTAACCACTAAAAATTAATGAACTTCTCTAATCAGGACATGTTTAGTTGCGTAAGGATTCACAATGTTTAAGTGTGGGAGAGCCAAGCTTCGGCACGAATGGGTCGTTGATATCACGGCCTCACAGAAAATCGACGTGAAACAACGACAATGTTGTGTTTAGCCGTGTCAGTGTTCTTACCGGAGACCCAATCCCTCAGCCTCTCCTCATACCTACCTACACAAGCCTTATACATATATCCGAAACCCTTATCCCTAAAAGGGCGGCAACGCACTCGTAACTCCTTTGGTGTTGCGGGTGTCTATGGGCAGCGCCGATTACTTACCACCAGGTAACCAGGTAACCGTACCTACGCTCGTTTGCCGACATATCCCATTTTTTAATGGAAAACTATCCATGACTAGTGCCACTGATGATTCAAGAAAGTGACTGAGTGACGACATAGGAGCGGAAAGTCGAAGGATAGATAGGTATCTATAGAAAAACTCTGCATTTCTGTTGGTCGGTGATAAGTCTACTTATATGACGTGTATTTGGTCATTTGTCTTAAGCTTAAAGTGATTTAGGAATAAAAATACGGAACTTTAAATAACTTAACTTTAATCTTAAGTATTATCTATGAGCACCATATTGAGTCTTGGTTACACTTTCCCTGATACCACAAATGTAGGAGTTTGTTGTTCAGTGATAGATCTTTTACTTCTTCTAATAGAGCTTTTAAATCCTGTAACAAAATATTTTTATTTGTAGTATTTGTGGATATTAAGTACCTAAGGGAAAATCCAATATAAACAGACTGTTGAATAAATAGTAGGATCATACAAAGCGAGACCATGATAAACTGGATCTAATAGATTGAAGTGTAAGTATGTAGGTACATGTTTTATTTTGTTAAAGTTGCAAAATATACCTTATTGGGGACCATCGGAGGTGGAATCAGCCTTCTGAAGTCGCCTCTATGTAAGAATTCACTGTATGCAGCCAACAAGGTCTTCTTTAGCTTGGCTGTGAGGCATGGCTTGCATAGGCGACATAGATCCGACACTTCGCAGCTGTCTTTACATAGAGTTCTGCACTCGTCTCCATAAACTGCTATATTCTTTTCAGCTGATAACATATCTTCTGCAGCTTTTGAATCACTAAAAATAAGTATTTTTGTTGAATTTATTTTAGCTGTATCTGTTAGATATTATTATGTTTTCAATTTGAGGGTACCTATCCCTTCTTTGTTTTTGAATTATTACCCTTTATCAGCTGCTGTGCGAGTGATTTTCGCCTGTGCAACACCAGTCAGCGAGAACAAATTGTACAAAACTTGTTCATATAGTAACTGGTTTGGTGGGAAATGTTTGGAACTTAAGTTTGGTCCCATGTTGGCCTCCAAGAGGTACACTTTTAAATTCTCATCGACGATCAAATCGAACCTCATCATTTCGAAGAAGTTCTCCGGTGAAGAGTATGCCTTGAACTAAAAAAAAAAATCTTTAAGAAAACAAATAGAGCCGTAGAGAATGCTTAGGACCTACAAGGTTGAAGACTACACTTACCTTGTCAGCGATTATCGATTCCTTCATAATAAATATCTCGGCTATAGCTGCCTGGACATCCTGCCACATTTTGGTAGTATCCTTTCCCTGCAACATATTAATTCAACATTAGTGCATTATCCTTCTAAAAAGTACAAATCGCATACTTACTTGTCTTATTTTCTTATGGTATAGTTTAGTTTTTTTTTAACATGTGGATTGGGAGTAGCGATGTTTTTTGTACCAACGCGCAACGCTTTTAAAGGGTAAGTAAGGAAAAACATTTTAGTCGAAAAAATAATAGGTAATTCATCTAGTCTACTAGTCTAGTAGGTACTTATCATAAAACAATTATAACTAAAGTCAATCAAATAAAGAAAAAATACACAAATAGACAAGTAGTAGACATTACTATTAAAAAGTTTGAAAATCACTTACCACGGATCTGGCGTAGATGTCAAAGGCTTCCTTCATAGTATTGCCTAGTGCGGTGTAAGGGTGCGTCAGAGAGGGCACCTCCCAGGTAGGCAAGTAGTCGTCACCTATCACATACTTATCCAAATTATTTGGATCAAACGGGTAGTACTTCGTCGGACAGTATCTGTAAGTAGACCATTTTTTGACGTTAAATATTTAATTACGGAATGTACCTACGGTAAACAAACAGCGCCACCTATGGGCACTCGCAACAAGGGAGATGTTACGGGAGCGGTTTCGATGTTTTGGGGATTAGAGATTTTAAGATCTGGGGACTGAGACACTCATACGACGATACACAACGCTGTGGTTGTTTCACACCGGTTTACTGTGAGGCTGAGGTATAACTTAATATAACTAGGCTAAACATTAATGCAGTAAAGCATGCGGTATTTACCTGAATAGTACATCGCCTTTGTACCAATACACCCTTAGCGGGTTCACAGACTCAAGCACAACATACACGCCAATGTCGAACTTATGGCCGTCCACTAAGAACGGTCTCTGAACAAATTCTTGAACGAAAGTCGTCTCATTAGTCAAATCAATTTCACTCACTTTCTTTAAGTAAACATTTCTGTGCATATTGTGTTTTTGTACAAATAATGCATCTTTATTTTTCTCGGCATATTTTAAAAACTCAGCTTTTTCTTTTGGTAGTCTGAAAGCTTTTGGTATAAACTCTGATTTCGATGTCGCTAGCTCGACTTTGCATGTGATGTAGCCTGTGCCAGGAAAATGGTTAACTTTCTGATTGGCGTTTAGTTTTTTTAGATTGATGTCGTTAAATGGGGTGGGGTATGACCATAATAAGTCCCAGGGGGTTTCGTTTGTAGTTTTCTCGTACCCCACTCTTTCCAGTACCAAATGCACGTGCTTCAGAAAACCATCTCTACTGTTCACGCCTGTAGTGTTTGGGTAAACCCAATATTTTGGACTAAGACTTTTTGCTACAACTTCGGCCTCTGGCTTGTGATTCCGTCTGACAACGTTGACGATCTCTAACAGTATGCCCAACGAGATGCCAGTTATACAAACGAGAAAAAATATATTCGTAAATGAATTTTCTAGTCTCACTTTAAATTTATTTGGAATTATTTGTACTTCCTTATAGTTTTGTACGTCTCTATGTTTTTGTTTATCTACTATGTTATTATTTAATGCTTCATCTTCACCTTCGTCGGATTTTTGTGCATCCTGGAACAAAATATAGGTAGATATAGATTTTTAGACAGTTTCGTGGTAGGTACTTCGATAGGCTTGCATAGGCACTACGTCAGGATAAAGACATAATTCACATTTATTATACTTTTCAAAGTATTGGTTCTTAGTATTGTCTTTTACACCTTATTCACTACTACTACACTACATATATTACCGCATTTAATTTACAACTATAGCTGCATGTACCTAAGTACAAATTTTCACCATTTCAAATGTCTAAGATGTGATGATTCTGGTTTTGAGACTGAAATTCCTACATTTTGTTGCATACCTATAACTAATCAGATAATTTTATTTATCAGTGTTAAGGAAATCGAATTAAACAATTACGACCTTTTAAGTCTAAGTACTTATTTAAGTTTACCAATGTTTACACACAATTTTAAGTTAGATTAAGCTCTATTACCTCGTGTGAAGGTTTATTATTATTTACACAACATTGATATGTTAAGAAACAAGCATACTTCAACTTACATTTTTGTCTTTCATTGTATTTCCTTTTTTTTATCACAAAATCACTGTTTATATCATTTAAACACTATATACTCAAACGCACCTTACGTATAACTGTGAGGGATATCTGAATGGAGCTAAGATCGTACAAGTAGAACGAGATGGAGGATAATGGAGACGGAAGGTGTGAGAGAGAAAGGTATAACTTTCTAAAAACACGATGTGCTAGTGTGGAGCGGCCTTTTAAGGTCACATCAACATACAGATGGTATGTAAGTACCGGTGCTATGTGACCCGTACTGTGGATGCTTATATAAACAATTATTTGTTTGCTACTTCTAGGTACTTCAAAAGACCGTCTTAGCAATTATCTCGAAGCTTTTAATGTACACCCGCAACATTGGAGAAGTAATAATTGCGTTATCGGTCTTATTATATTTATATTGGGCCTCCGGTAACCTAACTCGCGTTGCGAAACAAAACCGTGGTATCTCTCCTCGTCGAGACTCTATTCTAATTTAGAAAAACGTTGCCCCACACTAGGATTTTCGTGGGTGCAGTTACAAACATACAATTTCACATGCACATGACTCCCAGACCCGGAACAACAATTTGTGGGTAACACAAAGAGTTGTTACGTGCGGGAATCGAACCCGCGATACGCTGCACTGCAGCCAGTTGCCCAGCCAGCGCACCAACCGTGCAGTCAAGGGTCATAGGTGGGTAAAGCCCATTGTTAAAAACCTATAATCAAAAAAAGTAAGGGCATCATAAAACAATTTAAACATACTATAATTTTCTCTCGTGGTATTAATTAATTAAAGGTTGATTTTAACTTTCATGATGTATGAGACATTCACACACACACACATGTCATGTATGAGATATTCTAAATTAATAATGATGTTTTCGGCTTACTCACGTAATAATTTGACGAGATAGGTACTCGACTAGTTTCACTCGACTTTTTTGCACGCGATGCCGATTGCTGCTCATGAATATAGGCGTCTAGCATTTCTTGAAACTAGTCGAGTATCTCGTCAAATTATTACGTGAATAAGCCGAAAACATATCTAATAGTTACTAAAAGGTTGATTTTTTTTATCTATTTAATTGCAATGGAAATTCGAAATACTTATATTATTTTTTAGTGTGCCGCAGACCTACCAAATCATTACGTGTATGCAATGGTTTACCTTATTGGGGGCTAAAATTCATAGCGTTGTTATGTTTATAGTTTGTACTGTAGTAAGCAGAGGTATTCAAGTACCTATGTGGATAGCAAGCTATGGGAATGCCATGCATAACATGACGAATGTCGCATGTAAACCCGACCACAGACCGTAATAACTATAACTATGTATGTAAAATACCTACATAATATAGCTGAGCGAATTGTGATTAACTAGCTTCCGATTGCGGCTTCACCCGCGTGGTACCTATATTGATAAAAAAGATTTTGATCCAACGATTAATTCAGGGTATTACCTATCTACATACGAAATTTTTACCAAATCGATCCAGCTGTTTTTGAGTGAAAGAATAACAAACATACCTACATCCATACATTGTAACAAACTTTCACTTTTATAATATATTCGTAAGTGTTGTATTTAGCGTTGCATTTCATGGTCATGATAAGTATTAGGTAGTAGTACCTAGTATTCAAAAGTCAAAATCAATTATTTCAATTAGTTAGACCCATACAGGCACTTTTGAAAGTCAAACAAATTTTAAAGATATAAAGTGTTAGTCTGTCGGTCTGTCTTCTAGTGAAGCTATTTGCTCGTTCCAAAGTGTAGATCCGATGGAGAACGAGCTAGAAACTCCATGGTTACTCTTTTTAAATCAGTTTTACATAATAATTATTTGGTACATTATTTAGTAGGTTTGTTTAATGTGAGAACAATGTAACGCTAAAATACAGAGAAACATAAAAAGAAAATTAATTTCAGGACAATAGACAGTCCGGAGATGACCAGTCCCAATTGGTGGCGCCCGTTCACGAACATGACACTTACACCAGCATCGCCCAACTCAACCATATTATAGGGAATCCAATGCCCGTGCCCAACTCCAAGCTCCAAGCACAACTCCAAGCTGATATAAGGACCGACATTCTGCTAGTCTAACTAATTGTAATAAGTTACATACAGCACACTCACATTTACAAATTTATCAGGTTTGACCATAAAAATGGCATGGTAACAATTTTACTTAATTTTATTGAACTTCTATGATACTAGGTAGAATGGGGGAATTCCCAAATCAACACCACCATCTTTAAGTGTGGGAGAGCCAAGTTTCGGCACGAATGGGTCGGCTCGACCGGAGTGATGCCACGGCCTCACAAAAAACCGGCGTGAAACAACTACAGCATTGTGTTTCGCCGTGTGAGTGAGGTTACAGGAGGCCCAATCCTTCCCCTCCCCGATCCCTCTCAATCTCTAAATCTCCAAAACCCTAATCCCTAAAAGGTCGGCAACGCACTCGTAACTCCTCTGTTGTTGCGTGTGTCCATAGGCGGCGCTGATTGCTTACCATCAGGTGATCCGTCTGCTCGTTTGCCGACTTATCACATAAAAAAATGTAAGTTTGTGAGAATGCGCCCGCTTCTCATGCATGAAGGTGCGGGTTGTGACTTTTTCCCTAGTTTATTATAATACTTTCTATGATTATTTAGAGACCACTGACATACGGCGAAGGAAAACATCGTGAGGAAACCTGGACTTATAAGTTTGAAATCGCTAATCCGCCTTAAGCAAGCTTAGTGATTGATTAATACTCAAAATGATGGTGGTTATTAATGCGATGTGAGAAGAGGCCTTTGTTCAGCAGTGGGCACTTATAGGCTGATGATGTGATGTTTATTATTCTTTCATGCAAAAACGGCTGGATCGATTTGGTTGAAATTTAGAAAGTAGATAGATGACACTCTGGATTTTTTCACGAGTAAAAACGTCGTAGTTTATACATATAGATACTAAAACCCAATCATGATAACCTAACTAAATTATACCTACACAAGAATGATGAAAAACAGAAAATAAATTCAAACTATATTCCTAGGTTGACGTACGAAACCTATATTTTGGAAGTAACGTTAGTGCCTAAGTAAATACCTTTAGGACATAGCGAGGAGACTGTTATATGTTTTATCATATCAAATATAAAGTAAATGTTTAAAGAAATCACACTTTGTATTAATGCTCCTATTAATATTATAAACTAGCAGCTTGCCCTTGCTTCGCACGGGTCTCACCATCTCGCTTACGATGAAAGGGGAACCCTATTATCCAACTCTCCCCTCTACTTTTCAAAGAACTTAACAAAAAAAAGAATCAGTAGAATTGGTCCACGCGTTATTGAGTTATGTGCTTACCAACATATTTTGCGATTCATTTTTTTATACATAATATATAGATGTGAAGGTTTGTAAGTATATATCTAAGTATGTTCGTAATTGTTTCACATAAAAATTACTGAACGCTACGTTAAGACGACCGACATATTTATGACGTTCGACGCTCTGATTGGCTGCTCCAAGTTAACCAACCAATCAGAGGGCTAAACGCGGCGCGCGGTGACGTTTTGATCCAGAAGAAAAATTTGTTACAGGCGCTTATGTAATATTTGGTACAGAGATAAATTAATAAAGTCTTCAGGCTTCAGGCACACATATAGGCTACTTTTTCTCCTGAGAACGCAGGGGGCGGGGCGAAGCCGCTAGCAGGACTAATCTACCTACATATGTCTATCTATCTACCCACATAGTAATCGTTAAAGGTATAATATATTATGACGAAGAAAGATTTGATAGTTTGCTTTTTTTAATTATCTCCAAAACTTTTATACCGATTCGGAAAATTATTCGTGTTCGTAAGCTACCTACATTATCCCCAACACACACATGGATTCACATGGAAGACATGGGTTCGAACTGGTTCGAACCTACGCGAGCGAAATTGCGGGGCACAGCTAGTATTGAACATATGGTTTATATAAGTAGTATAAATAATATAAAAAGGTTCTTTCAAGACTGTGGCCTCTTCTACATAAGAAGGGTTTAATAAAATCTTTATGCTTGGCAGACATGTTTAAAATCATACTTTAGGGAACAGAGAGTTCCCTCGAAAAAAAGAATACTCCGACCCGGCGAGGTGTCTATGCCTGACGGGCAGCTGAACAACATTGGAATTTTCTGTAAGTGTTAATCTGCATACAAACTTAACTTATGCGATGTACATCAGATCGTATTTATGTGTATTGCTACAACAGTTTTGAAGGTCGAGTTAAGCCCTTCTATCGTTATAATTTAAGATAAAAATAAGTGCGCGAACGACGTTCGCTTGGGGTTTTTTATGGTATAAGTCGGCAAACGAGCTGACGGATTACCTGATGGTAAGCAATCGGCGCCGCCCATGGACACCCGCAACACCAAAGGAGTTACGAGTGCGTTGCCGGCCTTTTGGGGATAGAGGTGGCGGATATAGGGATCGGGAAGGGGCGGGATTGGGCCTCTGGTAACCTCACTCACACGGCGAAAAACAACGCTGTGGTTGTTTTACGCCGGTATTCTGTGAGGCCGTGGTATCACTACGGTCGAGCCGACCCATCCGTGCCGAAGCTTGGCTCTCCCACACTTAAACTTTGTTAACTGTTAGCGCTGCTGCCAAGTCTCTGTACAGTTGACTATTTTGACACCCACGAGAAGAAAAGGAGTAGTCACAGCATATTCTAATCTGTCTGTCACCATCACAACATCATACCAATCCACCTTGAGATGAACGAAACCTCCTCCGTGCGAGAAGAGGCCTTTGCTTAGCAGTGGACATGATCGAAAGGTTAACAGAAAAGGAACGTAACAAGGCTATAAATTAGTACGACTATGTTATTACGAGTATTAAACCTACTAAATAAATAACAAAAAATAATTATTATTATTCACTTTATAACTTACAGAAATTAGTACTCACATCTTCACTTGAACTTGTCATAATTTACTATCACAGATTACTATGGAGATTTATTGATGTAAATAGTTAATTTATAGTTTCTATATTTAAAACGCTGTCAAAATTATTGTGCTACCTATGAGTACTAGTGTTGGAAAAAATCAATGCGACTTCGAGAAACGATTATCAAAACCTCGATTAGTTTACAATTAGATGTATAATCGAAACATAACATAACATAAAATAATC